AATGCCTAAAGTGGGAGATAGAGTAGTAGTAATAATAATAATAATGGCTAACATTTATTGATTGCTTATTCTGTCCCAAATGCTAAGCATTTTATATGCATCATTTCCTTGAATCTTCCCAAGAACTTCCATTTTACATATGAAGAAATTAAAACTTAAGAGAGCATAAGTAACTTGACCTTGGTCATACAGCTAGTCAGTGGCAAAACCAAAACTCTAATCCAAAACCCTATCCTCCTAACCACTATGTATTTTGTCTTATCAATACAAAGCTAAGTTAAAAAGAAGCATGGAAAGGCAACCTGGATGGTTTCCTGAAATAACCTTAAAACCTGAAATGGAAATTAGCTAAAATCTTGTCAGTACTTTGAAGTCTAAAAGGGCAAAACATGACCTCATGGGAGGGGGTCAGAATCAGAAAGGGTTTGCTCTTAATGAGGAAGACTTCAGCGTAGAACAATTAAAAAGGACCGATAAGATCTCTGGGGGAAAAAAATGATTCACATATATTCTTCCCCGAAAAGCAAATAGAACTGATTTGACTAAAATGCTATAAAATAGGAAAAATAATTATACTTAGTAATCCAATTACAGCTAACCTAGTTAATAGAGTGGTATTTAGGAGACATGAAGGTAGAAATTTGAGAAATAGTAAAGCCAGGAGTTATTAGAACCTCAAGTGGTCTAGGCTTCTTCATTAGTTCTGGTTCCAAAATACGACCATAAAATTAGATTGTGTCAATTACAAAAAATAATCTGCTAATCCATAATGCTCCTTTGCTTAGAGTTGAAGCAATATGACTGGATTTTGGAACTGCCAAAGTCATCTCAACTACCAATTTGTTTAGGTTCCAACAAATAGAATTAGGAGAAAACTAGATGCATCATTTGGGGTTCTTTGAACCAGGAGCAAGAGGAAAACCATGCCGGGACCACAGCAGGTCCAAAGAGGTAAGAGGGTCTACAGAACAGAATCATAATAGTCTGATCAGTACACGAGCATTGGAAAGAATGAATGTCAACTAGTTTTAGTCTTTTATCCCTCCACTCAAGATCTAATTCCAAGAAGGGAGGTCCAAACTGGCTTCACTCACATCACTAGTCCTCTGACTGGCTAGCAGAGAAGAAAGCCCCGGAAAAGTCCCACCCGACTACATCTAAAAGGGAAGGAGGAATTCCTCAAAAGGTGATATTTGGAAGGGGAAATGGGTGCTGGACAGAAAACAGCAATATAAAACCCTGCCCTTGTAACACTTACCTTGGATTGAGGAATATTCCTGCTTCTTCCCAAAAAGAAATCCCATCTGCACAGAGACTGAATGTCTGGCTGGGAGACTGAAGTGGACTAAGAGCAACAACCATAAGCCACACTACCAGCGCTCTACTTGATCAGAAGTAGATCAGGGACGTCTGAGACTAGTTCCAGGTGCAATCCATTAAAGTAAATCTGTGATATATCGTGTAAAAAAGCCAACATGGACTTCCAGAAGTCCAATACCAAGACAGGAAAATGGGGGATAGAATCCCCATAATAATTTTTTAAAAAGACCAGTCATTTCATTTAGAAAGCTAACAAGCTATTATCAAAGGTTTGTACCTCAGTCCTAGCAACAAGTTGGTCCACTTTTAACTGATTAGGAATAAAACGGACACCTGATGAGATTATACAGCTCCACAAGGTCAGGAAACTTTTGAAAAACTACAACAGGGTATGAATTATTTAAAAGTTCTGAAAAGATCCAGGCTTTTTAAACCTTTTTATGGTACCAGGTGATGCATCAGTTACTGATCTGGGGATAATTTTATTACAAGATCATGATAATGTAAAACATTCTGTAATATACCCCAGTAGAAAAAGATTGCCAGGGGAAAGAAATTTATTTGTCTTCTTCAAAGAAAGAAAGTTTGGCAATTATTTGAGCCATAACATCATTGTTTACGAGAGTACCCTAAGGACTGATCATTAAGCCTAACACTTGGATAAAAAACTACTGCTGAGGAGCAGAGGTGGCCATAGAAGTTTTCAGGACTTCTAAACAAATATTCTACATGTCCCTAGTTGGTCAAAATCCTTGGGGAGGACGCCCCATAAAAAATAGAGCCTCTACATGCATCTCATAAGTCTATCCTAAGAGGACATTATACTTAAAATTTTTAAGTTAAAATAGTTTCATTTAAGAGAAGAAAAAGATGCACAAGGAAAAAAATGTAAGAACTGTAGTCTTGTCACATCTCCAGTGTGTTCCCCAGTGTCAGTGGTAGGAAGACAGAGGCCTAACAGGAAAGAGCATATTTCGACAGTATAAGGACCAGACTGAGTCACAATAAAAAAAAAAAAAAAGGAAAATCCCAAAGGTTTTATTCTCTCCAGCTCTGACAAGCCACAAGATTACTCCTGAGAGAAACAGTTCTAAAAAAGAAAGATGAGTTTTATTTGACATAGAAGTAGGACTGAAGTATTAGTATCCTCCAAGTACTAGACTGTAGCAAGTGGCCACGGAAGCATCTGTTGAGAAAATGGATCTAAACACACACCAAAGTCTTCCAACAAAGATCAGTCACCACTTGGCCTTGTCAGCTGAGACTGTCCAACACTATCATCAAACTCCTTCACTCAAATGCTGGAATTTCAATTATAATAAGGCTCTTCCCTAATACTGCCAGGACAGACTTCCCAACCTTGAACATTGATAGCATCTGTCCACCCAAAATCCTCAGACTTCCTCTCTGGTCTCACTTCCTACCCTCTCTTCCCAACAGCCCCCTCTCCCCTTTGCCATTTCATCTGTGCCTCTATGACACTGAATGACCTAGAGGACCACAAGAACTCTATGACCCTTCTAGCTTCAGGAACTTTGTACATGTTGTTTTCTCTTCCTATAAAGTCCTTTTCACCCTGTGCCTTCCTCTTTTTCTGGCTACTCCTGCCTATCAGTATTCAACTTCATGATTTCTTTTCTGGAAGTTTCCTTACCTATTACCCACTGTTTGATTAGGTACTCCTCTTCTAAATTCCCCTGGAATTCTTGCAGTTAAAGTATCTATGATACTGGGCGCCTGGGTGGCTCAGTTGGTTAAGCAACTGCCTTCGGCTCAGGTCATGATCCTGGGGTGCTGGGATCGAGTCCCGCATCAGGCTCCCTGCTCAGCGGGAAGCCTGCTTCTTCCTCTCCCTCCGCCTGCCATTCCCCCTGCTTGTGCTCTCTCTCATTGTCAAATAAATAAATAAAATCTTTTTTAAAAAAGTATCTGTGACAGTAACCCATAATTACCTACTTACTTGTCTATGTTCCCACAAACTGGATTTATCTTGAAGGCAGGGACCACAAAAAGAAGGCAATCCATCAATATTTGTTGAATAAAGGATTTTTGTTTGTTTTTAATCCCCTGTACTCAGCATAATAGCAGTCACACAGTCAATGTACAATAAACATTTGCTGAATGGATCATAAATACTCAAAAACATTTGTTGGATGAAGTAATGGACAGATGATCAGAAAGTGCTACATATCAGAAATCTTAAATTCCAATATCTTACTTTCTGACCTCAAACACTTATCCTTCCAGCTCTCTCAGATTCTGATTTTCTGGTCCCTGACCTCAAAGAGATGTCTTTGACATCTCAAGACATGTCAAGACACCCAGTCTCTTGACATCTCCATGCTCACCAAGTCTTTAAATACCTTGAAGGTATCACTTCCCTCCCTATTCAATCTGTACCCATGTTTATCAAGAACTTTTAACCCATACTTTCATTTGTAAAACTCTAGCCTTGTACAAATCTCTGCTGTCACAAATATTCTGCTGTCACAGCTACTAAAAATACTACACCAGGGTAATGCCATACCACCAGGCAGATGGGGCCCAGTATAAATTCATGGTCTTCAACTTCAGCTAGAACTTTGCGCTGGCCAGTTCTTCAACTTCCTTGTCAGCTCGCTTATCCATTCCTCATCCATTCCACTCCACTCTCTGTCTTTTCTCTCCTCAGTCCAACTGTCCACCCTTGCTCTCCATTGTTGGCAGATATCCTTGCCTCCTACTTTATCAGATGATTGACATAAGAAGGCATAAACTCAACTCTCTGCCTCCACACTAATAGACTTACTCAAATCTACATTGATCTGTTCCTCCTTCCCTTTCGTATCAGAGGATGAGGAGTCGGCCCGGTAACCTACCCTTCACTGAAGATGAATCAGTTTATCTGTGTTTTCAAACTCATCTCCTTCCCTGTTCTAATAGGACTGTGCTCTATTATTAACCGCTCTCATATATTCAATTTCTCTCTTTTCTTCTGGCTTTTCATACCCATTATATAAATATGTGGAACTTTTTCTCTTAAACTCTTCTTAAACTCTGTATCCTCTCCCTAGCTTTGACCTTCGTTTTTCTTTCTCTTATCAGCTAAACTACTTGTAGCATTATTCTCTACTTCACCATGTGCCATTCACTCAGCCAATACCATCAAATTTTTATGGGTAATACACAGGGACAAAGTTTTTAAAACTCCTCTAGCTTGAAATGTTATTACCCTCAAGAATTTAAATTCTAAAATGAACATACAATGAATCGGTAAGAAGACAGAGCAATTTCCAGGGAGAGTAAAATATAAATTAGCAATATCCATCTGAGAGAAGGCATCTGAGTCAATGGACTTGAAGTATCTTAATTCCATTGTAAGGAATACATTATACTAAGCATAGTGTCACGTAAGTTCTATAGTTTCCCTCATTTTTAATCCTTCTGATTTTATTTGGCTTCCAATGTAAGTTGTCCCTACAGAGAGAGGATCTCTCATTTCAGGAGAGTTCGGGACTAGTAATATAGATTAATTCCCCTGCACAAAACTGTTCTACTCAAAGAGAAGACTAGATATAGGGAACCTGAAAGTTCATAATCTAATAATAAGGGCAACACATTATTTTTAGCAAAGTGAACTAAATCATTCATTTAACAAAGGTTATATGTCAGGACTAAAAAAAGGAATGGCATGTTGTTACCATCAAAAAGTTGTGTGAAGATGTAGAGGCTGCATCTTTCTCAAATATTAGAAGAGCTTTCTGCATCAAGTAAATTGCTTTGGATAACTTATTCTTCCTTATTTTATTCATTACATTCAATTCTGAAACAGAAAACAAACATTTTATCAAAAGGGAAACATGAAAATTATCTTTAAAAGTTTTCAGCAACAGTTTATCCCAATTTTAATTACCTGTAAAAGAGTCAATGCTTCTAGGTTGTTTTAGCTTTTCTGGACCTTTGGTAGATCCATGTTTGCTAACAGTTGGAGTCTGCAAAACTGAAGAAGGAAGAGGAGAGTGCCATTACAATTAGATTTGTGTCCAAGAAAGGAAATATTTTCTAAACATTAAAGGTAACTATTTGTAAAATTATTGCTTCCTCTCATATGTCATCTTTTTTTTCATTAATAGATAAAAATTCAAACAAATCTATAATGACAAACTCTCTTCTATTTGCCACAGTATGCCTGAGGACATGAAAAATATTTAAATTATAGATGGGGAGGGAAGCTGGCAGAAGAGTAGGGGACCCTCGATTCATCTGGTCCCTTGACCTTGAATTCAGGTAACATCTTTCAATCTGGCTCCCTGCTTGGCGGGGAGCCTGCTTCTCCCTTGGGGCGCCTGGGTGGCTCAATCATTAAGCATCTGCCTTTGGCTCAGGTCGTGATCCCAGGGTCCTGGGATCGAGCCCCGCATCAGGCTCCCTGCTCCACGGGAAGCCTGCTTCTCCCTCTCCCACTCCCCCTGCTTGTGTTCCCTCTCTCGCTGTGTCTTTCACTGTGAAATAAATAAAAAATCTTAAAAAAAAAAATATTAAAGGGGATCCTGTAAGGGAAGAGAGAGCCCAACAGTAACAGACCAGAAAGGAACAGAGACAATATAGAGAAACAGTGACTTTAAAAATAATACAATGGCACTACATTCATATATTTCAACAGTTACTCTGAATGTAAATGTGCTAAATGCTCCAATCAAAAGACACAGGGTATCAGACTGGATAAAAAAGCAAGACCCATCCATATGCTGTCAACAAGAGACTCATTTTAGACCCAAAGACACCTCCAGATTGAAAGTGAGGGGGCAGAGAACCATTTACCATGCTGATGGACAACAAAAGAAAGCTGGGGTGGCAATCCTTATATCAGACAAATTAGATTTTAAACCAAAGACTATAGTAAGGGATGAAGAGGGACACTATATCATACTGAAAGGGTCTATCCAACAAGATCTAACAATTATAAATATTTATGCTAACTTGGGAGCAGCCAATTATATCAACCAATTAATAACACAAAGAAATACATTGATAATAATACAATAATAGTAGGGGACCCCACTCACAGCAATGGACAAATCATCAAAGAGAAGATCAACAAGGAAACAGAGTTTTGAATGACACACTGGACCAGATGGATTTCACAGATATATACAGAGCATTCCATCCTAAAGCAACAGAATACACATTCTTCTCGAGTGCACATGGAACATTCTCCAGAATAGATCACGTACTGGGTCACAAATCAGGTCTTAAACAGTATCAACAGATTGAAATTATTCCCTGCATATTTTCAGACCACAATGCTTTGAAACTTGAACTGACTCACAAGAGGAAATTTGGAAGGAACTCAAATACTTGGGAGATTAAAGAGCATCCTACTAAAGAATGAATGGGTCCACCAGGGAATTAAAGAAGAATTTTAAAAATTCTTGGAAACAAATAAAAATGAAAACACAACTGTTCAAAACTTTTCAGATGCAGCAAAGGCGGTCCTAAGAGGGAAGTACATAGCAATGCAAGCCTTTCTCAAGAAACTAGAAAAGTCTCAAATACACAAGCTAACCTTACACTTAAAGGTGCTGGAAAAAGAACAGCATACAGAACCTAAACCGAGCAGGAGAAGAGAAATAATAAAGATTAGAGCAGAAATGAATGGAATAGGGATGACTGGGTGGCTCAGTCGGTTAAGAGTCTGCCTTCAGCTCAGGTCATGATCCCAGGGTCCTAGGATGGAGTCCCACATCGGACTCCTTGCTCAGCAGGGAGCCTGCTTCTCCCTCTGCCTGCCACTCCCCCTGCTTGTGCTCTCTCTCTCTCTCTGTCAAATAAATAAATAAAATCTTGGGGAAAAAAAGAAATAAATGAAATAGAAACCAAAAGAATAGTAGAACAGACCAACAAAACTATAAGCTGGTTCTTTAAAGAATTAATAAGACCAATAAACCCCTGGCCAGACTTATCAAAAAGAAAAGAGAAAGGATCCAAGTAAATAAAATCATAAATGAAAGAGGAGAGATCATGACCAACACCAAGAAAACACAAACAATTTTAAGATCATACTATGAGCAACATGCCAACAAATTAGGCAATCTGGAAGAAATGGATGCATTCCTAGAAATTTATAAACTACCAAAACTGAAACAGGAAAAATAGAAAACCTAAACAAACCTATAACCAATAAGGAAATTGAAGCAGTAATCAATCTCCCATCAAACAAGAGTCCAGGGCCAGATGGCTTCCCAGGGGAATTCTACCAAACATTTAAAAAAGAACTAATACCTATTCTTCTGAAGTTCTTTCAAAAAAGAGAAATGGAAGGAAAACTTCCAAACTCATTGTATGAGGCCAGCATTACTTTGATCCCAAAACCAAAGACCCCACCAAAGAGAATTACAGAACAATATCCTTGATGACCATGGATGCCAAAATTCTCACCAAGATACTAGCTAATAGGATCTAACAGTACATTAAGAGGATTATTAACCACCACCAAGTGGGATTTATTCCTGGACTGCAAGGTTGATTCAACGTCTGCAAATCAATCAATGTGATACACTACATTAATAAAAGAAAGAACAAGAACCATATTATCCTCTCAATAGATGTGGAAAAAGCATTTGACAAAGTACAGCATCCTTTCTTGATTAAAACTCTTCACAGTGAAGGGATAGAGGGTACATACCTCAATATCATAAAAGCCATCTATGAAAAACCCACAGTGAATACCATGCTCAATGGGGAAAAACTGAGAGCTTTCCCCCTAAGGTCAGGAATGCGGCAGGGATGTCCACTCTCACCACTGCTATTCAACATAGTACTAGAAGTCCTAGCCTCAGCAATCAGACAACAGAAAGAAATAAAAGGCATCCGAATCGGCAAAGAAGAAGTGAAACTCTCACTTTTTGCAGATGATATAATACTTTATGTGGAAAACTCAAAAGAGTCCACCCCAAAACTGCTAGAACTCATACAGGAATTCAATAAAGTGGCAGGATATAAAATCAATGCACAGAAATCAGTGGCATTTCTATACACCAACAAGACAGAAGAAAGAGAAATTAAGGAGTCGATCCCATTTACAATTGCACGCAAAACCATAATATACCTAGGAATAAATCTAACCAAAGCAACAAAGGATCTGCACCCAGAAAACTATAGCATACTCATGAAAGAAATTGAGGAAGACACAAAGAAATGGAAAAACGTTCCATGCTCATGGATTGGAAGAACAAATACTGTGAAAATGTCTATGCTACCTAGAGCAATCTACACATTTAATGCAATCCCCATCAAAATACCATCAACATTTTTCAAAGAAATGGAACAAATAATCCTAAAATTTGTATGGAACCAGAAAAGACCCTGAATAGCCAGAGGAATGTTGAAAAAGAAAGGCAAATTGTAGCATCACAATTCCAGACTTCAAGCTCTTATTACAAAGCTGTCATCATCAAGACAGTATGGTACTGGCACTAAAACAGACACACAGATCAATGAAACAGAACAGAGAGCCCAGAAACAGACCCTCAGCTCTATGATCAACTAATCTTCGACAAAGCAGGAAAGAATGTCCAATGGAAAAAAGACAGTCTCTTCAACAAATGGGGTTGGGAAAATTGGACAGCCACATGCACAAGAATGAAACTGGACCATTTCCTTACACCACACACAAAAACAGGCTCAAAATGGATGAAAGACCTCAATGTGAGACAGAAATCCATCAAAATCCTAAAGGAGAACACAGGCAGCAACCTCTTCGACCTCAGCCGCAGCAACTTCTTCCTAGAAACATCGCCAAAGGTAAGGGAAGCAAGGGCAAAAATGAACTATTGGGACTTCATCAAGATAAAAAGCTTTTGCACAGCAAAGGAAACAGTCAACAAAACCAAAAGACAACTGACAGAATGGGAGAAAATTTCTCCAAAGAGGACATCCAAATGGCCAACAGACACATGAAAAAGTGCTCAACATCGCTCGGCATCAGGGAAATCCAAATCAAAACCTCAATGAGATACCACCTCACACCAGTCAGAATGGCTAAAATTAACAAGTCAGGAAACGACAGATGTTGGCAAGGATGCAGAGAAAGAGGAACCCTCCTACACTTTTGGTGGGAATGCAAGCTGGTGCAGCCACTCTGGAAAACAGTATGGAGGTTCCTCAAAAAGTTGAAAATAGAGCTACCCTACAACCCAGCAATTGCACTACTGGGTATTTACCCCAAAGATACAAATGGAGTGATCCGAAGGGGTACGTGCACCCCAATGTTTATAGCAGCAATGTCCACAATAGCCAAACTAAGGAAAGAGCCTAGATGTCCATCGACAGATGAATGGATAAAGAAGATGTGATATATATATATACATATATATATGTGTGTGTGTGTGTGTGTATATATATATATGTATATATATATATGGAATATTATGCAGCCATCAAAAAATGAAATCTTGCCATTTGCAATGACGTGGATGGAACTAGAGGATATTATGCTAAGAGAAATAAGTCAGTCAGAGAAAGACATGTATCATATGATCTCACTGATATGAGGAATTTGAGAAACAAGACAGAGGATCATAGGGGAAGGGAGGGAAAAATAAACAAAATGAAACCAGAGGGGGAGACAAACCATAAGAGACTCTTAATCTCAGGAAACAAACTGAGGGTTGCTGGAGTGGAGGGGGTTGGGAGGGATAGGGTGGCTGGGTGATGGACATTGCAGAGGAAAGGTACTATGGTGAGCACTGTGAATTGTGTAAGACTGATGAATCACAGACCTGTACCCCTGAAACAAAAAATACATTGTATGTTAATAAAAAAGTTTTTTAAATAAATAAATATAAGAACTGAAACCATAAATCTCCTAGAAGAAAACACAGAGAAAATTCTTCTTGACATTGATCTTGGCAATTATTTTTTCTGGATAAGACACAAGTAATAACAACAACAACACAAAACACAGTAAAAAAGCACAAGTAATAAAAACAACAAAATTAGTAAATGGGAGTGCATCAAATAAAAAAGCTCTGCACAGCAAGAGAAAAAACCAACAAAATGAAAAGGTACCCTACAGAATGGAAGAAAATATTTGCAAATCATATAACTGATAAGGATTAATATCCAAAATATTTAAAGAACTCATATAACCCCAATAGTAAAAAAACAAACTATGGAGAGAGGAACTGAATAGACATTTTTCCAAAGACGACATACAAATAGCCACAGGTGTATGAAAAGATGCTCAAAATCACTAATCATCAGGAAAATGCAGATCAAAACCACAAGGTACCATTTCACATCTGTTAGAATAGCTATCATCAAAAAGACAAGAGATAACAAATGTTGACGAGGATGTGGAACAAAGGAAACCCTTGCACACTGTTGGTGGGAATGGAAATTCGTTCAGTCACTGTGGAAAACACGATGGAGGTTCATCAAACAATTAAAAATAGGGGCGCCTGGGTGGCTCAGTCAGTTAAGTGTCTGACTCTTGATTTTGGCTCAGGTCATGATCTCAGGGTCCTGAGATCAAGAGCCGAGTCTGACTCTGCGCTCAGTGGAGAATCTGTTTGAGATTCCCTCCCTGTGCCCCTCTCCACCCCCAGCTCTCTTTCTCTCTCCCGCTCCCTCCCTAAAAATAAATAAATAAATCTTTTTTAAAAAATTAAAAATAGAACTGCTATATAATCCAGCAATCCCTTTCTGGGTGTATCTCCAAAGGAAATGAAAATAAGTTCTCAAAGAGATATCTGCTCTCCCGTGTTCATTGCAGCATTATTCACGATAGCCAAGATATGTAAACAGTATCTATCAATGAATGAATGTATAAAGAATATGTGGTGTGTGTGTGTGTATATATATACACATATATGTACATATATGTGTGTATATATATACACATATATGTACATATATATACATATACATACACACATATATATACATATATACATATATACATATATATAGTGGAATATATATTCCACTATATATAGATACATATATATACACATATATATACATATATATACACACATATATGTATATATGTATACACATATTCCACTATATATACATATATGTGTATATATGTATACACATATATGTATATATATACATATATAGTGGAATATATATACATATATACACATATATACATATATATACATATATAGTGAACTATATATGCATATATATACATATATATATACACACATATATAGTGGAACACACACACACATATATATATATATATATATATATATATATATATACACACACATATATATATAGTGGAATATTATTCAGTCATGAGAAAGAAGGAAATCCCGCCATTTGCAATATAACATGGATGGACCTTGATGGGCATGATGCTAAGTGAAATAAGTCAGACAAATACTGTATGATATCACTTACATGTGGAATCTAAGAAAGCTGAATTCATAGAAACAGAGAGTAGAGTGGTGGTTACCAGGCGCTAGAGGGGAAGTGGAAGGAGATGGAGAGATGTTGGTCAAAGGGTACACACTCCCACTTATAAGATGAATAAGTTCTAGGGATCTCATGTACGTCATGGTGATTATAGTTAATAATACTGTAGTATATACTTGAAAGTTGCTAAGTGAGTAAATCTTAAGTGCTCTCACCACAAAAAAGAAGTGGCAACTATGTGACATGATAGACGTATTAGCTAACATTATGATGGTAATAATTTTGCAATATCTTAGTGTATAAAATCAACACATTTGTGCACCTTACGCTTACATAATGTTATCTGTCAATTATGTCTCAATAACCTGGGGAAAAAAGTTTGCACTCAAAAATTAATTAATTACCTAGCCTTTGATTAAATCTATTTAGTTGTATATATGATGTGACATCTGAATGCTTTATTTTTTTTTAGGTTTTTATTTAAATTCCAGTTAGTTAACATACAGTGTATTGTTAGTTTCAGGTGTACAATTTAGTGATTCAACACTTATATACAACACCAGGTGCTCATCACAACGCATGTACTCCTTCATCCCGATCACCTATTTAACCCACTCCTATCCACCTCCCCTCTAGTAACTATCTGTTTGTTCTCTATAGTTAAGGGCCTGTTTCTTGGTTTGCTGCTCTCTTTTTTTCCCCTATGATGGTTTGTTTTGTTTCTTAAATTCCACATATGAATGAAATCATATGGTATTTGTCTTTCTCTGACTGACTTACTTAGCTTAGTATAATACTCTATCTCTAGCTCCATCCATGTCATTGCAAATGGCAAGATTTCATTCTTTTTTATGGCTGAGTAATATTCCATTATATACATACACCATATCTTCTTTATCCATTCATCAGTTGATGGACATTTGGGCCCTTTCCATAGTTTGGCTACTGTTGATAATGCTGCTATAACAGGGTGCATGTATCCCTTCAAATTAGAATGCTTTAGACAGAAATCAGAGGTCGTATTAGGCTGGAACACTTAGTACTATTCTATAATTAGTCAGTAATTTATAATGGAGTAGTTGTTAAATGAATACTGGCTATATAATCTTGCCAAGAGTAACTTGGCTTTATCAAAATTTAACCTCAATTTTTATACATAATGATGTTAAATCTTATTTTGAAACTTGAGTAAATGTATTATCTGTATGCACACCATTATTACTATTGACATCTTTTTAAAAAATGTTTTGAACTCTTTATCTAATAATGAGGCCAAAAAAACTTAGATCCAAGTCATGTGTGCTCTGACATTAATGTCAGAGATGTCTTTCTAAGTTTTTCAATACCTTCGAGGATAAATATAAACCCCTTAGCTATTCAAGATTTAACTGTGATCTACATCACTAGGCTTATCTGTGTTGTACTCTCAGGTGTGCTCTTTATTCTAGCCATAAGAGAATTCCAGCAGTTCCTAAAATGCACCATACAATTGTTGCTTTCCAGTTTGCTAACGGCTAGTTTCTCTATCCAAATGACTGTTTCCTTTTCATTCTTCATAAAGATATTTTCTAGCCTTCTGGTCAACTATCCCTTCTCCCAGGAAGCCATCCCTAACTCTTGTTTATTATAGATACTCCTCTTCTGTGTGCCCACAACAGAAACTGAGCCCACTTCTGTTACATTTATTAATCTCAACTGTTACAATTGGCTTACTTACTAGAAGCTCAAAATTAGAGGTTGTATCTTATTTATACCAAACATAATATGGTTCCTGGATCTTAATAGGCACTCAATAATTATATTTGCTTGATTGAATTAACAAAATATCGGTAATTTACTATAACTCAAACAAAATTAATTAATTTACTTTTTTAAGATTTTATTTATTTATTTGACAGAGAAAGAGATAGGGAGAGCAGGAACCCAAGCAGGGGGAGTGGGAGAAGCAGTCTCCCTGCTGAGCAGGGAGCCCGGTGTGGTGCTCGATCCCAGGACCCTGGGATCATGACCTGAGCCGAAGGCAGACGCTTAATGACTGAGCCACCCAGGCGCCCCTCAAACAAAATTAATTTAATTTTTTAGAATTATACTAATTGATTTGCTATGCAGGTTATAAAGCAATAATGAAAGGTATCTATTGATATTAAGCAGGGAAAAGAAAAGAAAAGAATGAAATTTATCTGGGAAACACTCCATCAACAAGAACATAATTTACAAATTATTTACTCTTCTTGAACTTATCTTAAAATTGATGCAGAACAAATTATTTGCTTTGATCACTACTACCTTGCAATTGGTCAAGAAGCACAACAGCTATACGGTGCTGGGCTTGAATTAGTTCAAGATGCAAATCCATCATGAAAGAATTTGGTGTGACTGGTTTGCAAATGTCTCCATCTATGTCCTGGGTGTACTTTGGTGGGATTGAAGCAAAAATAAAAAAAGAAATACAGTTATCAAAACATACTAAAAATAGCTCTATCCTATTACCACTCAAGTTATCATTTTACTCTACGCCATTAAATTCTGCTCATTTCTCAACTCTTTGCAATCTGGTTCACATGCTAATAAACCTGCTTTTCAAGTTCACCAGTGGCCTCTTCAGTAACAAATTTAAAGACTCCTCGCTCTCCTTGATTTCTTCTGGGAAGAGGGGAATAGATTTCTGGCCTATGAGAATGAGGCCACCACAAATCACGCTTTGCTCACCTACTTGCAAAGCCAGCCCTCTTCCTAGCTAAGTAACAAACACTTCAATTTCATGTAAGAGTTTCCCATTTACCTTGGCATAGCAATGGTCAACCACTGATGATCCATTTGGCAAAGTAGTTAACATGCAATTCAAATTTATTCCATCAATTGCTTTGTCAAGAAGTTCATAAGCCAAGAATAACTGTTCCACAGGTTTCTTCTAAAGTAATTTTATAAACAAAACAGAAAAATAACACGTAAGGAAAAATCACATACAACATTTTCAAACTTCTTTCAATAATAATTCAAACCAAGTAATAAATTGAAATAGTCTATCCAATATCAACAATGTTATATTTTTTACTAAGTGTATTTGTCTTTTTTTTTTAAGATTTTATTTATTTATTTGACAGAGAAAGAGATAGCGAGAGAAGGAACACAAGCAGGGGGAGTGGGAGGAGAAGCAGGCTTCCCGCTGAGCAGGGACCCCGATGTGGGACTTGATCCCAGGACACTGGGATTATGACCCGAGCCGAAGGCAGACGCTTAACAACTGAGCCACCAAGGCACCCAGTGTATTTGTCTTTGATTAAATGTGGAGTACTACTGATAAAAGTGAAATAATAAATACAATTCATCATTTTTCCAAATATAAATTAAGCTTTTCATAAACTTGTATATATCTTCCTTTTGTGGTTTTCAAAATTCTGACTGTACCAAATGTATAGGTAAATTTTTAAAATACAACCCTCATAATTTGTCATTTTCACACACTTCATTTTGAAAGTTAATTTTTTTTTAAATCTCAGAGCTGGAAATTTAGATGTAGAGGCCATCAAATCCAATGATGTATATCATGATTTTCAAAAACTAAATATCTTTACATTCTAATTATTCTCATAGAGAGACAAATACTGAGAATAATATAACGAGCATCTGGCTTTGTTCAAACTTTCAAATTTCACATATTTCTCCAGAAAATTTTTAGGAAATAAAGCAAACACATACGTGCAGATAATTGAAACCCTCTATAGAACTGTCCACATGACAATCTTTTTCTCTGCTCCTAAAGGAAGCCACTGTGCTTTGGTTTTTACCATTATTTGGTATGTTTTTAAACTTTACCACATGTGTATCTATTAACAATATGCAATATTGCTTGCCTACTTTTTAATTCTGTCAGAAAATTTTGCAGTTCACTTTATACGCTCAAACATATGTTGTTGCAATTTTTTCATGCTGGTGTATGTAACTCAACATGTCGAGTTTGGTTAGGAACACAGAACAACTGGAGATACTCGCAAGCAGAAAGGGATTGGATACACAGAAATAGAGGCGTCTATCACTGTTGGAAGGCCTGGGGGGACAAAGGCCAAGGAAGCTGCCAGTGACAATTTGGCTGCACGCACGAGCCTCTGTGAATCTAAGAATCAAGGAGCAGCTGACAACAGCTGCGAGTGTCTGTCACACCACGAGCGCCAAGTGAATTGCAAGAGCTTGCCCAGCACCTCTGGTAAACAAACTTCTTCCATCTGCCGCTGCCAAGGAAGAACTCTGTCTTCCCTTCATTATACATTCCTGCAAATGCCCTTCATTGGAAGACTAACCTAGAAGCACGCAGAAATGAGATGCTGGGAAATGCAGTTCCAGCTTTTCCCCTGTGACAAAAGAAGGTGACTAAAGAAGGGAAGGGTAAGGATGCCAAGCTGACTCTAGTTCAAGCCCACACTAATTCATTCATCCTCACGACCACAATGAAATGGTGTGATGCTGAGGAACATGTCACAATATATTTATCCACTCTTCTACCGATGGGCATTTAGATTGCTATTACTAAAAATGTGTAATGCATTGTACGAGTCTGTGGATTGAGACAGGCTGGTATTTGCTTTACAGTCCTTATGCCTTTTTTATCTGCTTTCTTTCTCAGCTATCTAAGATCTCTAGGACATGTTGAATAAAAGAATGACAGCTATCCTAGGTCGTTACCTCAGTATAAAGGGATTGCTTTTAATCTTTTACTATAGGTATAACATTCATTACAGGTCTTTGAATGATACCCTTTATGGGAAAAAAAATTATCCTCTATTCCTGACTTAAGAGTTATTTTTTGGGCGCCTGGGTGGCTCAGTCATTAAGCGTCTGCCTTCGGCTCAGGTCGTGATCCCAGGGTCCTGGGTTCAAGTCCCACGTCGGGCTCCCTGCTCAGCGGGGAGCCTGCTTCTCCCTCTCCCACTCCCCCTGCTTGTGTTCCTGCTCTCCCTATCTCTCTCTCTGTCAAATAAATAAATAAAATCTTTTTTAAAAAAGAGTTATTTTTTAAAGATGGCTGTTGAATTTTGTCAACTGCTCTTGTTGCATCTTTTTATCTAGTGAGGTAGTCGTATTTCTTCCTGTCGTCTGCTAATGTGGCGTATTGCATTATATTTTCTAATGTTAAATCATCCTTGCATTCCTGGAATATACACAATTTGATTACACACATCCATTCAAAGATATATAGATATATATCTCCATTCAAGAATCACAGGCCCAGGGAGGTTCTCATGCAACTCAAGTAATGTAAATTCAAAAAACAGACCTACGTGAAGGCAGGCCCAGGATTATAAATCATTAGGAAGAAAGACTCTCTCCCACCCACCCACCTCCTGTACCCATGTGGAGATACCTCCCCATACAAATAGGCAGACTGGTTTTCTTCTGGTCTCCATTCTCTAGAATGTGGTCTTTTGGAGGTCATAATTTTAATGTGTAAGTCTCAGTTCCAAACCCCCATCTTTCATGTGCCCAAGCTTCATATCTTGTCACTGAATGGCTGTTAATCTGAGCTTTTTTATAAGTGAGCCCATCAACCAACTGCAGCATCTACTCATAAAATGACCATTCTAGTTTTCAGTTCCCCTTTCTGGGCCCCTGGAATTTATCTTACTTTCTTGTGAGCTCCACAATGTGCTTGAGGATATTTGTTCAATTCTGCCCAAAATTTCTAGGTGCTTTGTAGCAACGGGGTTTTCAGCTCACCCAGTTTGCCCTTTTTCTAGAAACAGAAGTCTCTAAGGATGCCTTTTTAACACCAAAAAATTTCAAAGACCCTCCTCCACACGCACCTACATTCTATCATCAACATCATCACCATCACTATCACTTTTGTTATCTTTGTCATGATCATAGCTAACATTTAATTAAACTATGTTCCAGATACTGGGCTAAACGCTTTACATGGACTAATTTTTTAATTACCATTATCCTATGAGGTAGATACATACGAATTATTGTAATTTTACAATACATTTATTGAAAGAACTAGCTGCTATGTATTCAGTAAAACTTTTTAATAAGCTTTGAATGTGATTACAATAAACATCTCATTTTTTTAAATAGTTGCATGTATATATGCAAGATATACAATTTATCCCACCTACAATCTCTGATAGGTGAGCATACAGATTTTGGATTCTCCTTACAATAAATTCTCACTTCTCTCCATTTCACTCCCCTCCAGATGGGTCTGAGACCCTAAGTTAAGATTCAGTGCTCTACATAAAACATAAGAAAAACTGAGTAGCTACCATGTGCCAGGTACTGGTTTCTGCAACATTACCAATACCTCATTTAAACTATATAACTTAATACCAGTAGAATTGATTCTATTGTTATAATTTCACAGATGAGGATACTTATATTCAAACAGATGAAATAATTTGCTCAAGATCACACAGTCAATTTAGAGCCAAGATTCAACTCTGGGAAAGAGAAACCCTCCTACACTGTTGGTGGGAACGCAAGTTGGTGCAGCCACTCTGGAAAACAGTATGGAGGTTCCTCAAAAAGTTGAAAATAGAGCTACCCTATGACCCAGCAATTGCACTACTGGGTATTTACCCCAAAGATACAAATGGAGTGATCCGAAGGGGTACGTGCACCCCAAAGTTCATAGCAGCAATGTCCACAATAGCCAAACTGTGGTAAGAGCCAAGATGTCCATCGACAGATGAATGGATAAAGAAGAAGTGGTATATATACACAATGGAATATTATGCAGCCATCAAAAGGAATGAGATCTTGCCATTTGCAACGACATGGATGGAACTGGAGGGTGTTATGCTGAGTGAAATAAGTCAATCAGAGAAAGACATGTATCATATGACCTCACTGATATGAGGAATTCTTAATCTCAGGAAACAAACTGAGGGTTGCTGGAGTGGTGAGGGGTGGGAGGGATGGGGTGGCTGGGTGATAGACATTGGGGAGGGTATGTGCTATGGTGAGCACTGTGAATTGTGTAAGACTGATGAATCACAGACCTGTACCTCTGAAACAAATAATACATTATATGTGAAAATAAAAAAAAAAAGGAGATAGTAGGAAGGAGAAAATGACGGAGGGGATATCGGAGGGGGAGACGAACCATGAGAGACTATGGACTCTGAGAAACAAACTGAGGGTTCTAGATGGGAGGGGGTGGGGGGATGGGTTAGCCCAGTTATGGGAATTAAAGAGGGCACGTATTGAATGGAGCACTGTGTGTTATACGCAAACAACGAATCATGGAACACTACATCAAAAACTAATGATGTATGGTGATTAACATAACATAATAAAATAAAATTTTAAAAAATTTTAGCATCTGGTGAATCCTTAGGTCACACCAACAAACCACCTGTACTACATCTACCATATGCCACAGTACGGCTGGGCAGGTTGCCTACCGCACAATTTTAGGGGGTACCATTCATGCTGTTATCATCATAGATTTGTATATTTATTTTGGCAATTACCCAGCAAATGGCAATAAATCATATCAAGGAAAGGGTACATTTTTCTAATTTAAATAAGAGTAGCAATAGTTCATAAACGGTCTTCAGCTTCATTTGAGAAAACTGCCACCTTCTATGAAACTCATTTTATTTAGTGGCTTTAATTGCCAGAAATTTTCCACCTGAAGCTAAAATCTAGCACTTTGTAACTTCTATTACTATTCTTATTCCTGCCCTATGAAGCCTCAGAGAATAAGTGCTGGCCCACTAAGCCAGTGATTCTGAAATTCTAGTTTCCTTAAGAATCTATCTGGGGACGGTGCCTGGGTGGCTCAGTCGGTTAAGTGTCTGCCTTGGGCTCAGATCATGATCCTGGGGTCTTGGGATCAAGCCCCACGAAGGGAACCTGCTTCTCCCTCTCCCTCTGCCGCTCCGCTTGCTTGTTCTCGCTCTCTCTCAAATAAATAAATAAATAATCTTTAAAAAAAATAACCTACCTGGGGGAATTTTAAGAGGAAAATACCTGTAATTATAAACTTTTAACACCCCACAACTGAAATTATGATTCCATATGCCTTAAATGGGAAATAGAAAGCTGTATATTTAGCAAGCACTATAAATGATCCCTGGAAAAACCATTGGCAGACAGCTGTTATGCCTCCTCAATCTCTTGTGAATTTCAAACATACTGTCCCCAATTTAAGATTTCTCAACTCTAGCTCTCTCAAGACACAATGCTACATAAAGAACTCAAAATTGCATTCCCTAAAACCTATCATTAGAAGAAAGTAAATTCAGAATGATCCCTCAGTCCTCTAGTATATTCATGATATTTGATTGGTACCCAGTTACAGGACTTGCATATTTTATGCATTAGAAAAATATCTTTTATACAAGTATCCTGAAGAAACTTTTTTTTAAAATCAAACATAGCATAGTGACTAAATACCTGGACGTTGAAGGCAATACACCTAAGTTCAAATCTACTTACTATGCAATCTTTTTTTCTTTAAATTTTTTATTATTATGTTATGTTAATCACCATACATTGCATCATTAGTTTTTGATGTAATGTTCCATGATTCATTGTTTGTGTAAACACCCAGTGCTCCATTCAATATGTGCCCTCTTTAATGCCCATCACCAGACCAACCCATCCCCCCACCCTCTCCCCTCCAGAACCCTCAGTTTGTCTCTCAGAGTCCATCATCTCTCATGGTTCGTCTCCCCCTCCGATTCCCCCACTTCATTCTTCCCCTCCTGCTATCTTCTTCTTCTTTTTTTTACTTACTATGCAATCTTGAGCAAGTTAGATGTGTAGCAAAAATCATCACTATGACTACCACAGATCAACTGGAGTGAATCTCACAAACACAATACTGAGATAAAAAGCAAGCTGCAGTCACACTATGACTTTATATATATATATATATAAATTTAAAAGCAATACTCCCTACTTTCTGGGAAAAACGCACATACATAATAAAAGTATGCCTGGAATTTACAGTCATTATATTTAGAATACCAGTTACTGCTAGGCAGGAAGAAAGGTGATATGATCAAAGGAGTTAGTGGATGAGTTTCAACTGTACTAATAATGTACTGTTTCTTAAGGGGAAATGGGTCTGCCTTATAACATTCTTTATAATTTTATGACATATATTTTAAATTGATTTTTCAGAGAAAATATAGCAATTATGAGTAGTAACATTTAGCAACAGGAAAAGTGCTGATGAAATAATGTTAGGAAAAAAACATCAGAATGCTACTATGCTAAAAAATATAAAAAAAGACTAGAAGAGAATACAAAAAATAATATTTCAGTCTATATAGTGAAATTGCAGATTTTTCATTTTTATACCTCAAAATATCCTCTAATGTTAATACAACTTTTGTAATTTAAAATTATAATTTTTGAATTAATCAGGCAAACAAAAATATAGATCACTGGCTTCCTCTCTAGAAAAGTATTTTTCAATAGTAGTCCATGAACACTAGTGTCCTAAGCAGTTATTCCATAGGGCGTAAAATGGGTTTTATTTTCAAGTAATGGAATATATGGTATTCTATATCTCCTTGGAAAACTACAATGCTCATAAGCAAATGAAGGCCTCTGAGAAGTCTTATAGTAAAGAACCTGTTGTGTTTAATCCAAAGTCACCCAAAGTTACTTGACTCTGGCATCCTTTTCTGAAGCACAGTATTAGCATCACATAGGACAGACTTGACAAAATGCTATTCTAGTTCTTGTCTATAAATAAAAGAGTGTTTATAACATATATGACATGGTTCCCTAGACTCCCATTCAGATCTATAGAACAACACAATCTCTGATGGACAGAAATAATTCAAACATTGTAAGAAAAACATAATCAAGAAGAGGAATAGCTATTTATCTCCCTTACCCCCTTTCTTCTCTTAAGGTAACAATCACTAAGAACTTGCCCAGTGCCAGGGACTGTTCTAAGTATCTTTTCAACAGGTAAAACTCATTGAATCCGTCAGAGGAATATGCTGAGCAGGACCTTTCTGCTCCATGAGTCTATGAATCACAACACATTAAAAATACCAGTGGTAATGTAACTACAAATCCTTTCAAGATAATTTACCAGGTTATTTTTAAAGCTGATTGGGATTTTTTTTCTACAGTAAAAGCAAAAGGTAGAAAATGTCCCCTGTAGTTTTCAATGTATGTAGACACTGTAAATTCTCAAATATTAAATATTCAAAATTATTTCTATAATTAACCATTACATATTTACAAATTCAATATTATTTGAAAATCTAAATTCACGTTTTTAATTGTATTTTCTAAAATATCTTTGCAATACCTTTAGTATTGGAAGAATGTCTATGTTCCCTCTCGAAATCCCAAAGAATTCACCAGTTCCTTTTCTTAAAGGTATCTCTGTGGGGGGGGGGGAAGGAAAAGAAGGAAGGAAGGAACAGAAGAGGAAGGAAGGGAAGAGGAGAAGAAAAGGGTAAAAGTAGGAAGAAGAGGAGTGAGAAGGAGAGAAGAAACAAAGGGAAAGAAGGAAGGACCAGAGGAAAGAAGAGGAGGAAGGAAAAAAATGTCAACATAGCAGGGAATCATAATCCTAAAAAATGTTATGCCAAATTGGTTACCTTTTTGATTACTCATGATTTTAGAAATGATTCAACACTCAGAAGTTGACTAAACACAAAATTATTTCTTCCATATAATTACATTTTGTCTTTATATAAGTTAATTTAAAAGCATCTTGCAGTACAACAAACAGAATTAAAAATCCTGATTATTAACAGGTAATATTATGGTAAAGAGACTGGTCTTTCTATAAGGTCTATAAAGTCCATTGAAAAGCATTCACAAAACAGTGTAAAGGCCTTATGAATTTGGACAAATATCAGACAAGGCTGGTTTGAGTGAAACAAAAATAAACCATAAATATATGGCAATGCTAGTTTCCTATTTTAAAATGTACTCAATAATTTAAATAATCCATTACTTAATAAACAGTCCAATAAACATTTTGAATCAGATTGCCATAATTAATATACAAGAATGACTTATACTTTGTATTTTTATGTGCCAATAAGATTATGATAATAATGTTGGAAAAGGTGTAAGAATTTATATATCTAAATGGGGACAACCCCTTATATAAACATAGATTTTTCTATTTATAAATGGATCATGCTCCAATATCAATTAGTTCTTTAGAAATGAAACACTTTAGCAAAGAATCAACAAATTGCATTTAATTTATAATTAAACAGAGTATAAAATACAACAAAACAATAGTCTCCCAAAAGTAATAATAAACAAAATAAAATTGAATAAGAAATAGACTTCAAAAAAAAAAAAGTAATCATTGGGCCTTTTGTTTTCAGTAACAGGTAACCTGGAAAAATTCTCCTGACTAGAGAGCACTAGAAAAGCTGAGGGGCACCTGGGTGGCTCAGGCATTAAGCGTCTGCCTTCGGCTCAGGTCGTGATCCCAGGGTCCTGGGATTGAGCCCCGCATCGGGCTCCCTGCTCCACGGGGAGCCTGCTTCTCCCTCTCTCACTCCCCCTGCTTGTGTTCCCTCTCTCGCTAAGTCTCTCTCTGTCAAATAAATAAAATCTTTAAAAAAAAAAAAAAAGAAAAGCTGAAAAAATTTTATTTCTTCATCTGTAAGCAAAGAAGATCATGAAAATATAAATATAGAGCTAGGATCTTGAGAAAAGAGTATCACCTGGATCTTGGGAAGAGAGCCCAGGGACTAAAGAATGGCATTAGAGCTACCTTCCCAACTGAGGACTTTTGTCAATTCTGAAATGGAAAGCTGAGAAGCTGAGTAATGCTTCTGACAGCCCTGAGAACTAAAGCAACAGAGATTAGGATCCAGAGCCACTAAGAGTAAGAAGCCAGAAGAGGCTGCATCCCAGGACTTAGGGTAAATGGAAAGTAAGTCAACAGGAGAGCATCTCAGCTTCAAATTATCTTAATCTCTCAAACTGGACTAATAGGATCCTAGAGTAATAATGTCTTCATGCATCTAGTAAAAGCAAGCATAATCTTCTCTGGAAGAACATTAACCTCATCTTCTAAGGCTTCAAGTTATTTCTATATTTGGCAAATATAATGTCTACCACACAATCAAAAATAGCCAGAGTAACCAAAAAGCTGATGAAGTAATTCTTCACTTAAGAACTCAATATAGTAAGTGCAGGAGGAATGACAGAAGTTTGAAGCCCTTTCTGGCTTCTCACTCCCACTCCTCCAGTAGCCTTCAATCAATGACAGATAAGAGTTGTATAAATATCTCAACCTCCCAGCTCTCTGGGGCAGGTTCTATACAGTCTCCTAGAGGTGTCTCATGGGAAAAAGTCCTAAACCTACAACAGTAGCCTTCTCCTTAACTTACTGTACTTTGTATTGCCTTCCTTTCCTTTTCTGTCTCACTTCTCCACACGACCACCCTGCTTCCCTAGATAACTACTTCATTCAACAACTTGTCTCAGAATCTACATCTGGGGAAAACAACCTAGGAAAAAGGTCAGGCTGACAATAGCTGAACTCACTGGTAAGTCTTTACAACACAACATGTGGGATAACTAGGCATTATATGCTTCCTGATTCAACACAACAGGGAATAAACAGCACCACCTATGAAGTATTCTTGCCAAGTGTATAAGATATTGGCAGGAATTCTTTTTGATAAGATACCACTTGAATCTAAGCAAGCCTCTAGATCCAACTACCAGCTAGAGAAACAAGCTAATACCACAAAGACACAAAGAGCCAAATCCAGAATGTGGGGAATCCTACAAGATGACAAATCAATTTCTTCAAAAAACAAATGGCTTGAAAGGGGGAGGAGGAAAGGAACTGTTATAGATTAGAAAGAGAGACTCAAAAAAATGTAAGAAAGTAAAATGTATGAGCTTATTTGGATCCTGATTGGAACAAGCCAACTTGGGATTTTTTTTTTAATTAATTAATTTATTTATTTAACAGAGAAAGAGACAGCGAGAGAGGGAACACAAGCCGGGGGAGTGACAGAGGGAGAAGCAGGCTTTCCGCAGAGCAGGGAGCCTGATGCGGGGCTCGATCCCAGGACCCTGGGATCATGACCTGAGCTGAAGGCAGACACCTAATGACTGAGCCACCCAGGCGCCCCGTAACTTAAGATATTTTTAATTTAGTCAGGGACATAGGAATTTTCCCCTAATTTTGTAAAGTATAGTAATAATGGCATTATAGTTTTGTAAAACAAAACAAAATACTTATCTGTTACATAGACAAACCAACACATACACACACACACACACTGAGGTATTTCCTGGTGAAATGACATGATGTCTGCTTTAAAACACTCCAGAGGAAAAAATGTGTTACAGGAAGAAATGAAATAAGATTGGCAAAATGTTCATAATATTGGTACTGGATAATAGGTACATGGTAACTTATTTCATCTCTCTCTATTTGAAATTCTGCATTATAAAAATTTTAAGAAAGGAAAGGTATTTTAAGACAGGACATTTCAAAAAAAATAGGACTTCAGACCATTGAATGTATTAGACAGCCAGAGACCTTTAGCCAGTAGTTCTCAAACTTTGATGTATACCAAAATCACCAGATAAACTAATAAAGACTAGAAAGGCCCAGGCTAGATGAAGTAGGATAGGATCTGGGCCTTTGTATTTTTAACAAGTTCCCAAGTGATACTGATGCCAATCAAAATTTGAGAACCATGGCTCTAAACTTCCATCTGCTAAGCCACACTCAACAACTGAGGACAGCAGAGCAAGATTAATGAATCTCTGGGAAAACAATTACTATGATAATTACTTTACTACAAAGTCCCTCAAATGTGATACCCACTATGTAAGAGGGGCAGAAGAGGAAAGGAAACACCCACTAACCACACCACCTTACTCCCTACATATGGGTTACTTTCTAAAACAGATGGTTCAAGGGTTCAACCACATGCTGAAGAAAGAAGGTCAGAGCATAAGGCTGTCCTTTGGGAGAAGGAACCTTCTGGAAGGAGAAGAATGCTGGCAGAAAGGGATTGGGGCAGAGAGAGTAGGGAGTGGGTGGGAAATGAGAACAAAAAAAGACGAAGATAAGAGGAAAGGGGGAAAAGAAGAGGAGAAATAAAATAAGTGAAGCCAACAAATTTTAAAAGGAGGGAATCAGAAGATAGGAGAAAATTAAAAAGGAGATAAAATGTAAAACACTGATCCATTCAACAGACATTTATTTAAGTTACCAGTCTGTGTGGGGCAGTGTGGTGGTTACCAAAAATATAACGGCAACCAAAACATGTTCTCTTCCTTCAAGCAACATACACTCTATCGGGAAACGGCAGAGGAGGAAAGGGGATAAAAAGGGGGAAAGAAAAGTAAAAAGAAAGAATGGGGAAGAGGAAGGGAGGTGAAAGTGGTAATGAGGAATGGAGAAGCGGAGTACAGGAGTGAGGAGAAGACAAAAGACACGTATGTGCCACGGAACCATACAGCATATAACCGTTGTATGGTTATTTCTTGGTTCAACCTCTGTTATTTCTATCTCTGGTTATAAATCAAGGAAGCATAGTACTGAAATGCCTAGCTTCCGTTCACAGCAGTTATTCTTTTTTCCAATTTATACTTACACACTCATATGTGTATATGTATATTAGTAACTTCATACTTTTCATTCATTGTATTACCTAGAGATTTTTTAAATTTTCTTCGTGGGTTTCCTAATAACTCCAATATTTCACTTAATCGCAACGTGACCTCTGCTACCACCACAACATCAATGTCTTCCATTTTATAGCAGTGAATTACTTCATTTATCTGCCACAGAAGATAAACCCACTAAAAAGAGACAATCAATTAAAATATTACATTGTTGAGTCACATTTTTTTAAACTTAGGACTTCCTTGAAGTCATCATCTTCTAGACACATGGAAATGTTAGACAGGTAGACACCCCCTTATTGGTACATCTTAATTATAAACATTAATGATCCTAATCAATCTGTTTCTATAAACTTGTAAAGAAGATTCACCTAAGCTTACAATCTGCATATCTATAGCCATGATGGAACATTTAACATCTTTTTTTAACATATCAGTAAAGATGATCAGTATCCTCAAAGTTCTCATTCCCCCTCACAAAGCAGCTGTCGTGATCACTCCCCGAGTCTTCCAAAACAGTGAGGGGGAGGCAGCTGTTTCAAGCTCCATGCTAGGTGGCTTCAAATCTGTCTTTCATGCCTATATCCCCCCAAAGCTTAGCACATAAAATTAGCCATCACACTTTAGGAACTAAAATGAGGAAACAACATTACTTTTTCACTCCATTACCTTTTCAGAGGACATGGTAAAAAGCCCATGTACCCTATGTACAACACATCCAATATGTTACTGTTAAAATGTTTCCTCCTACGTTCCCTGTTTACAATATTCACCTGCTCAACTTTCTCCTTTCCATGAAAGAGCTCTTTGAAATAGTCTAAAGATATTATTGCAGAAAAAAAAAACCCTAAAACTCCTTATCTATTTGTATTCTCTATTATCAACCTTCTTAATGAACTTATCCAAGTTCATGTAACCTTAAACGCACTACATTTATTCCTCTCTTAGAAACCTGAAATACCTTCCCACTCCCCAAAACTAAACTGCAGAAGTGCAGAGAATACACTTAGAAAAAGGCTCAGTCAGCACCACATTTAAAGAATGGTAGTTATGCAGGTGGATAAATAGGGAAAATTTAGATTTGAAGTGTGCATCACAACTTAAATTAGCAGTAATAAAAAGCAAGTGAAAGGAAACAAAAAGGAATACTTTATTAGTACTGATTTTCTGGGTGAATTTTGCATAGTCATTTCTGGGCATATTGATCCTCTGAATTCCTAATTTGCATTTCTGCCATAGGAACATTATCGTGTCCACAACAATTTCTTTATCAGGCTGAACATTCTGAAAACAAAAACAGTAAAGTAATGGTAAGAGTAAGATACACTGTAGATACAGCTATATAGCGTTTAACGTGCTCTATATACCTACTGCAATGGACTGAATGTGTCTATCCAAAATTCCTGTGCTGAAATTCTAACTCCCAATGTGATAATATTGGGAGGTGGGGCCTTCAGCAGGTAATTAGACATGCGGGTGACGCCCTCAAGAGCAAAAATAGTACTCTTATAAAAGGGACTCCAGAGTCTGTCACTTTCTTTCTGCCGAGCAAAGACAGCTATCTATGAACCAGGAGGTGGACCCTCACCAGGCACCAAATCTGCTGGTGCCTTGATCTTGGATTTCTCAGCCTCCAGAACTGTGAGAAGTAAGTGTTCCATGTTTAAGCCACCCTGTCTATGGTATTTTTGTTATGGTAGCCCATACAGACTAAGACTTATACCAATTTATTTAATCTTCATGACAACTCTATGAAGAGAGTACTACTACTATCTTTTTAAATTTTCTGTGTTAAAATAATAAAGAATGGGGAGGGGGATGAATTAGTAAGGGGAGAGGGAGTAGGGAGCTGGGAAAGGATACAAACAAGGAGGAAAGAGAGACATAAAGAAACCAAGAGAACATCACACTGTGTATCAATAGATACCATGAGTATAATGAATACATCTCCTCTCAAATCAGTTATTTGGCTCTTTTCAAAAGAAAAATATAACTAGGGGCACCTGGGTGGCTCAGTTGGTTAAGCAACTGCCTTCGGCTCTGGTCATGATCCTGGAGTCCCGGGATCGAGTCCCGCATCGGGCTCCCTGCTCAGCAGGGAGTCTGCTTCTCCCTCTAACCTTCCTCCCTCTCATGTGCTTGCTCTCTCTCTCTCTCTCATTCTCTCTCCCAAATAAATAAAATCTTAAAAAAAAAGAAAAATATAACTCATTATATCCGAACTAGAAGGATAATGAGTTTATGATTAAAATACACCAAACCTTGAACTTCTTTGGGGCAGCTCTAAGACTTAATTTGCATATGTAGTACCTAGTATGGAACCATAACAGAGATCAATAAATGTTTATTGAATTGAATTGAATGAACTAAGACATACACGATTTTTTTTAAAAGCCGGTAGTAAAAATTCCTTGCCCTGGGGCACCTGGGTGGCTCAGTCAGTTGGGAGTCCCACTCTTGGTCTCAGCTCAGGTCTTGATCTCAGGGTTGTGAGTTCAAGCCCTGCACTAGGTTCCATGCTGGGAACGTGGAGCCTACTTAAAAAAAAAAAAAAATCAAGGGCTCCTGGGTGGCTCAGTCCTTAAGCGGCTGCCTTCGGCTCAGGTCATGATCCCAGAGTCCTGGGATCGAGTCCCACGTGAGGCTCCCTGCTAAGCAGGAAGCCTGCTTCTCCCACTCCCCCTGCTTGTGTTCCTCCTCTCACTGTCTCTGTCTCTGTCAAATAAATAAATAAATAAAATCTTAAAAAAAAAATCGAGATGAACCATGAAAGACTATAGACTCTGAGAAACAAACTGAGGGTTCTAGAGGGGAGGGGGGTGGGGGGAATGGGTATTAAAGAGGGCACATACTGCATGGAGCACTGGGTGTTATACGCAAACAATGAATCATGGAACACTACATCAAAAACTAATGATGTAATGTATGGTGATTAACATAACAAAATTTAAAAACAAAATCTGGCTGGGAGCTATACGGGATTAACAGCACAGCTCTGGGCTATTAAAGTGGGCCAGAATGGCTTTCTGACACTGAAGAAATTAAAAGTATGGGAAAGGGTAGCCCCTTCCTCCAGAGGGCATTGTTTGGCCTTAGAGATTCAGAGAAAGCAACTGAAATTAGATTTTTGCATCTGGTCATAGGGGCAATGTTACTAGAAGAAGAAATTATAAATAAGTGTAGAAGAAGGTATAAATAAGTTTTGGTCTATTCATACAGTGGAATACTATGCAATAAAAATGGAACAATATACAACCACTTGCAACAATAAGGACTCTTACAAACAATATCAATTGAAAGAAGCAAGATGCTGAAAGTATGCATAGATCTCCCTTGACTTATAAATTGAAAATACCATAAATCAAAAATGCGTTTAATCTATTGAACATCATAGTCTAGACTTACCTACTTTAAACATGCTCAGAACACTTACATTAGCCTATAGTAGGACAAAGGTCCCGAACACAAAGCCTACTTTATAATAAAGTGTTAACTATCTCATGTAATTTATTGAATACTGTGCTGAAAGTGAAAACCAGAATAGTTGTGTGTCTGTCATTTCCCCTCATGATCGTGTAGTTGACTAGGAGTCATGGTTGCTGCTGCCCAGCATCATGAGAGAGTATCATACTGCATATTGCCAGCCAGGGAAAAGATCAAAGTTCACAATTTAAAGTATGCTTTCTCCTGAATGTGTATTGTTTGCGCACCATTGTAAGATGGAAAAATCTTAGGTTGAATCATCCTAAGACAGGGACCATCTGTATTTTCTGTATCCCATTACATACAACACGAAAAAATAGGCAAAACTAACCCAATGACTAAAAAGTCAAGATAGTGAGTACCCACGGTAGAGTCAGTGACTGGAAGGGAGCACAGGGGTAGCTACTTGGTGCTGGTCATGTTCTGTTTCTTGAACTGGATGTGCTTCATTTATGAAAACTCACTGAGCTATACACTAGTAAAATGTTTGTCATTATATATATTATTCATCAATATAAAGGTTTAAAAAAAAAAGTAAGATTCAAGGGTGCCTGGGTGGCTCACTTGGTTAAGTATCAGACTCTTGATTTTGGCTCAGGCCATGATATCAAAGTCATGACATCGAGCCACCGAGTCAGGCTCTGTGCTCAGTGTGGAGCCTGCTTGTCCCTCTCCCTATGCTCCTCCCCCCGCTCATCCTCTCCCTCTCTTTCAAGTAAATAAATGAATAAAATCTTTAAAAAAACACAAAAACAAAAAGTAAGATTCAAAGTACTGAATTTCTAAATATTTCTGTTTTGGAATATAAACATATATCATGTATCAAATAAGATTATAAAAAAGATATGTCAAGTGCCTGGGTGGCACAATGGGTCAAGCCTGCAACTCTTGGTTTTGGCTCAGGTCATGATCTCAGGGTCATGAGATCACCCGCATCGGGCTCTGCACTCAACGTGGAGTTGGCTTGGGACTCTCTCTCCCTCTCCTTTGGCCCCTCCTCCAACGTCTCTCTCTAAAATAAATAAATAAATAAACCTTTTAAAAAAAGATATGTCGGGGCGCCTGGGTGGCTCAGTTGGTTAAGCGACTGCCTTTGCCTCAGGTCATGATCCTGGAGTCCCGGGATCGAGTCCCGTATCGGGCTCCCTGCTCGGCAGGGAGTCTGCTTCTCCCTCTGACCCTCTTCCCTCTCGTGCTCTCTATCTCTCATTCTCTCTCTCTCAAATAAATAAATAAAATCTTTAAAAAAAAAAAGATATGTCAATGCTTCTGAACTAATCTTTTAAAATTTAGATTATTGGGTGCCTGGGTGGCTCAGTCGTTAAGCGGCTGCCTTTGGCTCAGGTCACGATCCCAGGGTCCTGGGATCGAGTCCCGCATCAGGCTCCCTGCTCAGCGGGAAGTCTGCTTCTCCCTCTCCCTCTGCCTGCCTCTCTGCCTACTTGTTCTCTCTCTCTCTGTCAAATAAATAAAATCTTTAAAAAATAAAATAAAATTTAGATTATTAAATAAATTATGAAAATAAACAAAATCAAAGCTCATAGGTATTGATTGCTTATGATCAACCTCAAAGGTGGCCAGGAGCATGGGCACAGGACAGAAATGGGACCAGCTTCAGGAACAGCAGAAAAGCTCTCTGTATTGGGTTGGACATAGAAGGGACATGAGCAACCCATCACACCCTATCCTTTCCTCTAAAGAATGTTTAATCTTCTTGTCCTCAGTTTCCCCAATTGGTCCTTTATACCTGGATTTAGCAACTGAACTCAAGAACAGAGATCCTCAAGAGGAAATCTTGTCTACTAGGCCTTGAAAAAACAAGTCTAAGGATGACAATTGGACATCTTGGTAGATTTGGAACATAACTACATCTGATTCCTAGACTGCTAATAGCTCATGATCATTACTAGCTTCTGGAACTATACCTCAATGAAAATATTATGCTTGGAAAACTTGTCCTAAGTTCATCATTAAAATACTTATTTGTAAAAAAAAAAAAAAAAAAAAAATCCTTCCCCTTTTCAGCCTTGATTAGAATTTTTTGGTTTAACCCCAAAAAACAAATAATCCAGTTAAGATATGGACAGAAGACATGAATAGACATTTTTCCAAAGAAGACATTCAAATGACTAACAGATACATGAAAGATGCTCAACATCACTCATCACTCAACATCAGGGACATATAAATAAAAACCACAGTCAGACACTACCTCACACCAGTCAGAATGGCCAAAATTAACAACACTGAAACAAGAGATGTTGGCAAGGATGCAGAGAAAGAACCCTCTTACACTGCTGGTGGGAAGGCAAGCTGGTACAGCCACTCTGGAAAACAGTATGGAGGTTCCTCAAATATTAAAAATAGAGCTACCCTATGACCCAGCAATTGCACTACTAGGTACTTACCCCAAAGGATAAAAAAATACTGATTCTAAGGGGCACATGCACCCTAATGTTTACAGCAGCATTATCAACAATAGCCAAACTATGGAGAGGGCCCAAATGTCCATCAACAAAATGAATGGATAAAGAAGACGTGGTATATATGTATATATATATATATATACACACACACACAATGGAATATTACTTAGCCACAAAAAAGGAAACCTTGCCATTTGCAATGACATGGATAGAGTGAGGTGTATTATGCTAAGTGAAATAAGTCAATCAGAGAAAGACAAATACCACATGACTTCAGTTATCTGTGGAATTTAGGAAACAAAACAGATGAAAATAGGGGAAAGAAGGGGAAAAAAAGGAGAGAGGGAGACAAATTATAAGAGAGTCTCAACTATGGAGAGCAAACTGAGGGTTGATGGAGGGGAGGAGTGTGGGGGATGGGCTAAACAGGTGATGGGTATTAAGGAGGGCACTTGTGATGAACGCTGGGTGTTATCTGTAAGTGATGAATCACTAAATTCTAGTCCAGAAACCAATATTATACTATATGTTAACTAACTAGAATTTAAATAAAAACTTGAAACAAAAAAAAAGAATTTTTTGTTTAGCTCTCCTACTATAATCATTATATTTGCTCTCAAATACCTTTCTTACAAAAATTAAATACGTGTCACAAGTATTTAATAAACCCAGAAGAAATAAAAAACATTTTACCAGTGGAACTTCTCAAGTCCCTTACTGTGGTTTCACTTCCCTGAACAAAAGTTAATACAATGCTCTATCATTGTGGTTTTCAAATTTTCTTTAGAATAGTAAAGCCAAATTTTCAAATGAAATTCTATCTCAACAATTGTATATAAAACTAATAAAAACAGGTTAGGGTGTTATACCCAAAGCTGAACTCCTGAGGGAACTTCGGCAAAGCCCTGGGGATCCCTGGAATTCAGTTTTAACCACCAGTGCTGTTCTAGTTACTTAAACATTCATACTCACAAATCATCATCTCTAATGGCCATTGGGTACAAAGTGACTCCAAATAATAACTAAGCGCCGTATTCATGGACTGGAAAGCGGTATTTCATTAAGAATGTTAACTCTAATTGAAATGACTGCTTCATTTCCTTCATTATTAGAAATATAGCTAGCATAGGAATTTTCCAAAAAGGAACAAAAAGAGTTATTATCAAAACAGACTTAAAATCAGAAGTCAGACTATGACTCAACCTCTTATTTAATGATTAAACAATACAGAATTTTGGCAAGGTGCAATTCCCGTGATATTTTAAATCTGGCTTTAAATTAGGTATAATAACCTCCTTCAACACTATTACAAAGTCTTCAAAAAAGCAATTAATTTCACCTGGGGAGAAGCACAGACACAAGAGTACAAGGTTGCTGCCAAATGGAAAATGTCTTCTGAATATCCATAAGTCTTCAAACAAGAATCTAATTCATAAAGTAGAGAAAAATGAAACAAAAAAATCAATTACAAAATTTCAAATAGAAAAGGCATAGAAGCAAAAATTCTACAAAATGACATAAATGGTATCTGGACAAATATCATGTCACTAAGATATTTCTATATGAAAACTAATCTAAGTGGGCTCTAATGCAATTAAAATAGACTATTGTCATTAATCTGTGATCTGTATGCCAACTACATCCAGAATAGAATTGAAAAGGCTTATAATATTAAAACACATGTAAAATATGGCAGTTGAAATAAAAATAACAAAAATATCTATTCAGAAACCACTAGAAAAAAGATATGTATCATTGCTTGGTACAAATTATTTACTGCAATTGAACAGCCAGGAAATGCCTTAATAACATTATAAAACATAAAAAAAGATTAGGGATTAAATCATTCTTGTCAGTCTAAAATTAGAGGTTGCAGATTTCCAGTTATATGTACAATAACTTTTAAGACTTAAAATGCTGGAATGAAAAACTGCCCCTACTGAAAAAAGATGGGAGACCACCAAATCTTCCCTTGCTAAAGGGAACTGATAGCTTTTGATTTACTGCCGTGCTGGTCTCTCACTTACCAACAAGGTAGCAGCTAAGTAGAACCTTACTCACCTCCTCAAAATCATCACATAGAATAAAACCCAGCATCCTTACAAGGTCTAGGAGACTACAGGATCTGGCACCCAGCTATTTCTCTGCCTACATTTCCTACCACATTCTCAAATTCCACCAGCACTACCAGCGCACGCTAGCCACATGTGCCTCCTTGTCATTCCTTCTACAACCAAGCACTTGGCCTTGCATGTCCTGTTTCCTCTGCCTTGAACATTCTTTCTCACTTTGCCTAGAGAGTACATTTTATCAGATGAAATTTTAAGTTTTCAAAAAGGCAAATAAATACTCACCATGAAAAGCAATTTTCTTAACATAAATTTGAGCTGATTGTCCTTCTTTGTAATTTTCCATGGGAAAGACCAAACCTTTGTTTCTCTTTACATTGATTAAAGGTTCTATTGCAACAAGAAGAATTAAATCCTTTTCTGCTTTCTTTGACTCTGGATCATCCTGCCTCTAAGAGAAGTATATCCCACAAGTTAATAATTCAAAGCCATCTTAACAAAATAAAAACAAATTATTGGTTTTGTATATGTTACCTGGAGAAAATCAATAAGCTGCCCAGCTAAAGATTCAAATAAACTCCATTCCTCATAAGTAAAAGCTAACTTTACAAATTTCACAGCGGCATCTATAGAAATAACATTTTTTCCTTTTACAGTAAGTTGCAAAAGAGATGTTTGTGGAAAATCAAGCATTCCATCTGCACCAGTATTTGACACTAGAAAAGAAAAAAGAGAGGTTTGAATGTCACTCATGCAAAGAAATATTTACTAAATATTAACTAACAGATACTGCTAGGCACAAGAGAAACAATGGAAAAGAAGCAAATACAATCCCTACCTTTACAGAGCTTATACTCTAATGAGGAAACAAGAAATCTTAGAAGAGAAATACAGGGTGCTGTGGGGACAAATAAGAAGGGCATCGAACATGGGTTTGAGGTAGGAGAGTGGTCAAGGTCGTCCAGCCAGAGGAAGGAACATAGAATCCCAAACACAGAGAATTAGCAAGAGTTAACTAGTCAAATAGGTAGCTAGATATTACAAACTGAAAGCTCAGGAAACAGGTCTATAATAGGGATACAGCTTTAGAGTCATCATTATATATCCATAGTAAACAACAGAAGCGGCCATGGGCAATGTACAGCTGCCTAGGACAGGAGAATTACGACCCCCAACACGTAAGAGAAGGGTAGAGGGAGAAAAGGCTGCAAAGAAGAGTGTTTAGAAAGGAGTATTCAACAGTAACAAATACTAGAGTGTAAAGGAAGAAAAGCACTGAGAAGGGACCCTTGGATTGAACAAAAAGGAAGTTGTCCATGACATTTTCCATAGAGGGCTGAGGACAGAGGGCTGAAGACTGTATAAGTAAGAAGGAAAGAATTTAGAACAGTGGAAACAGACAATTCCTGACTATAACAAGAGGAAGAAATACAGGGAAGGAGCTGAAAGAGGACATGGGATAAAGGGACAGTTTGGAAAGATTAGGCTAAAAGACTTCAAAAGGAAGAGAAGGAACACCCCATCCATTTTAAAGAGAGACAGTGGAAAGGATGGGTACAGGTGAGGGTAAATTTTCAAGGGTGGGTGGAGGAAACCTCATCTGAGATCGTTTTCTTCATGGAGAAGAGATGAGCCCAAACTGTAGCAGAGAAACTCCCTTCCTGCAGACGGGCATGCACATGTACACACACATACCCTAAACTCACTTGAAAGTACACATGCTAAGGTCTAGGCTTTCACCTCTCTTTCCAGGTATTGTGGACAAGTCAGGTGACTGCTCCAAAGCAACAGGGTAAGCTCATGAAAAAATAAAGTTAAAAACACAAACACTTTGAAACAAAGACCACTAATGAAAACATTTTTTACCAGAGGAAGCAGAAAAATAGAAAAGAGTAAACACTTAAGCTTAATAAGTATTCTCTCAAGGAAATGGAGAATTTTAGAAACATGAAGCGAGAATAAACTGCTGTGAAAAAGAATCAAACAGAGACTAGGTATAAATTACTTTATTGTTGAAACAAAGAATTCAATAGATGAATGGAATAGAATAGCAAGAACCAAAGAACAAATTAGTGACCTGGAAAGTTGAACTGAGGAACCTTCCCAGAAGGCAACAGAAAGGAATAAAGAGATTAAAATAATTAAATAAGATAATGGAGAGTGGACGTGTTAACATCTGCTATGAGGGCCCTCAGAGAATTATTTTTTAAGATTTCATTTATTTATTTGAGAGAGAGAGAGAGCACAAGCAGGAGTATGGCAGAGGGAGAGGGAGAAGCAGGCTCGCCACTGAGCAGGGAAACCAACGTGGGGCTCTATCAAGGATCATGACCTGAGCTGAAGGCAGACACTTAGCCAACTGAGCCACCCAGGTGCCCCGCCTCAGAGAACTTTTTAAAAATATTTATGTATTTATTTAACAGAGAATGGGGATGTGCAGAGGGAGAGAATCTTCAAGCAAACTCCCTGCTGAGCACAGAGCCAGCACAGGGCTCAATCTCACAATCCATGAAATCATGACCTGAACCAAAACCAAGAGTCGGATGCCTAACTGACTCAGCCATCCAGGTGCCCCGAGAATTTTTTTAAAAAGTAAACATAAGGGGAAGAAACAAAGAAGTAAGATAAAAAATGAAAGAAAGATGTAAGACCTCAAAGTACCTCCTGTATTACCAAACCTACCCCTAGACCGAATATAACGAAATGTAAGAACATCACAGGAAAGGACACTGTCAAAGCTAAATCTGTAAAACAACAAGGTTTAAACTGTTGAGAGATGGGCGCCTGGGTGGCTCAGTTGGTTAAGCAACTGCCTTCGGCTCAGGTCATGATCCTAGGGTCCCCAGATCAAGCCCCACATCAGGCTCCCTGCTCAGCGGAGAGCCTGCTTCTCCCTCTCCCACTCCCCCTGCTTGTGTTCCTGCTCTTGCTGTCTCTCTCTGTCAAATAAATAAATAAAATCTTAAAAAAAAAAAAAACTGTTGAGAGACTTCTCAATACCATATAAAAGACTATGGTGAGGGGCGCCTGGGTGGCTCAGTCGTTAAGCATCCGCCTTCGGCTCAGGTCATGATCCCAGGGTTCTGGGCTCAAGCCCCACATCAGGCTCGAAGTCTGCTTCTCCCTCTCCCATTCCCCCTGCTTGTGTTCCCTCTCTCGCTGTGTCTCTCTCTGTCAAATAAATAAATAAAATCTTAAAAAAAAAAAAGACTATGGAGAAATGTCTTTAAAATTCAAAAAGAAACAAACTTCTAAGCAAAATATTATATCTAGCTAAACTATTTCAAAGTTCTTAGAGTTTGTATTTGAGCAAAAAGAAATGAATTTAGAAAGAAGTAGTGAAAAATGGGAAAGATGAAGGAAAAGGCTTAACAGTGTATTCACTATCTTAAAAAACAATGACCAGGACTTGTATCTAGAATATACAAAGAATTCTCAAAATTCAATAGAAAAAATAAGCAATTCGATTAGAAAACTGGCAAAAGACACTAAAGAGAAAGAGAATATGAAGGTGGAAAATAAATATATGAAAAGATGTTCAGCATCATTACCCATTAGGGAAAAGCCACAATGAAATAGCACTATACACCTCTCAGAATGGCTAAAAGAAATAGTGATAACACCAAATACTGTTGAGGATGTTATAAAACTGGATCTCTCATACATTGTGAGTGGGAATGTGAAATGGTACAGTCAACCTGAAAGACAGTATGGCAATTTTCCACAAAACAACATACACACTTACCCAGCAATTATACTCTTGAGCATTTATCCCAGAGAAATGAAAACACATGTGCACACAAAGAATTGTACTCAAATGTTCATAACAGCTGTACCCTAAGAGCCAAAAACTGGAAAGAACTCAAATGTCCTTCAACAGGTAAACAGTCAGACAAACTGTGATACATCCATACCATGGGCTACTCCTCAGCAATTCTAAGAAGTGAACTATTAATGCACACAACTTGGATACGTCTCAAAGTAATTATACTGAGTAAAAAAGCTCATGTATAGTCACCTCGTTTATGGCAAAAGGATACTACAGTCAATGCGGAAAGGAAGGTCTCTTCAATAAATGGTGTTGTGTCAACTAGATGTTATAAGGAAATAAATAAATCTTGATCTCTACCTCATACCAACAAAAACAAAATTGAGACCTAAAACTTCTAGAAGGAAACACTGGACTGTATCTTTATGACATTACAGTACAGAGATTTCTTAAACATGATGCAAAAATGGTTAACTATAAAGGCTATACTGATAGACTGGACTACATTAAAATTAAGAATTCCTGTTCCTTAACAGCTATAATTAAGAGAATGAAAAGGCAAGCCACCAAGTGGGAAAAGATATTTGCAATATATACATATTCAACAAAGAACTTATATCCAGAACCTATAAAGAATTCTGACAAACCAATAAGAAAAAAACAAATAGCCCAATAGAAAAATGGGCAAAAGATGGTTCACAAAATGGCCCCCTTCCACAGAGGGCAAGGAGAGACTGAAAAAGAGGCAGACTACTCCAGATTGGTAGGTGGTAATTTTAATAAAGCAAAGGAATTTATATATAAGGCTTGTCTATACAGTTTCCCCAGAAGATTTAACTGGGCTCAGTCACGTATACCATCCACCTGGTCTCAACAACACCTTACTCTCATAAGGCTACATCCTTGAAACCACTGCTAGTACAAGAATAGTAGGTAGGACATACACACCAAGGACAGGGTGGGGTGGGAGATGGGGAGTTTAAGGAGCCTCCAAATGCCTGGGTCCAGCTCAAGAATTAACTGGTAGTCATATCCTCTTGATGACCTCCTCCAACAAATCTGAACAGGCACTTTGCAAAATAGGATATCCAAATGGTGAAGAAATATATGAAAAAGTGCCCAACTTCAGTAGTCATCAGAGAAATGCACATTAAATCCATAATACTACTGAATTTGCTGAATTCACACCAGAATGGACAAATGAAAAAGACAAAGAAATCTAAGTGTCCAAATTTGGAGCAATTAGAACTCTCATAAAATGCTGCTGGTGGTATAATTGGTACCAAAAAAATTAAATAAATAAATCATTTTGGAAACCAGTATCCGCTACAGCAAAACACACACATACCCTATGCTGTATCAATTCCACACCAAAAGAAATGCATAGCAGATGATGTTCTCTTTCAGCAATTTACAAAACAAGCAGACCAAAAACATCAGTAGGAATAGAGAAGACTTAACTACATGATTTACAAACTTCACCTAATCAACATATATATAAAGCAATGTACCCAACAATGAAAGAACATAGAGTCTTTCCAAGTATATACAGACTATTTACCAAAATTGACAAGTTAGGCCATAAACCACATCTCAACAATTTCAACAGCTTCAAAGAATATCAAATAGAATATGCTTTCTGGCCACAATATAAGTAAGCTAGAGATCAATACAAAAAAAAAAACAATTAGCGGGCGCCTGGGTGGCTCAGTTGGTTAAGCGACTGCCTTCGGCTCAGGTCATGATCCTGGAGTCCCGGGATCGAGTCCCGCATCGGGCTCCCTGCTCAGCGGGGAGTCTGCTTCTCCCTCTGACCCTCTTCCCTCTCGTGCTCTCTATCTCTCATTCTCTCTCTCTCTCAAATAAATAAATAAAATCTTTAAAAAAAAAAAAACAATTAGCATATCTCCATGTTTTTTGACTCATGGCACGGTATCAAAAAAAAAAAAAGCACAATGGGAATTTGAAAATATTCTTAACTAAATGATAATGAAGGTATGATAAATCAAAACTTCAGGTACATAGCTACAGTTGCATTTAGAGACAAATGCCTTAATATGCATATGTTAAATAAGGATAAATCCTAAAAAATCAATGATCTAAGCTTCCAAGTCAATAAATTTTTTAAAAATCAGCAAAGCAAACCCAAGAGAGTAGAATAAGAGAAATAATAAAGAACAGAAACTAATAATATGGAAAACAAATATACAATAGAGAGGATAAACACAAATATTGCTCATGGAAAAAGACTAATGAAATTGGCAGACCCTGAGGAAACTGATGAAATGAGAGAAAAAGGCAAGCTGACCACTACTAGGTATGAAAAAGAGGAGCCCAGACACCTACAGATCTTATAAAGAAGATTAAGAAGATCATAATGAGATATTATAAATAATTTTATGAAAATTTGAAAATACTGGATCAAAAAATATAATTTTCTCAAGTCCTATTTACCAAACTGATAGATTTTTTAATGAAAAGAAAGCATAAATCATTTTATATCTATGAGAAATTTTTAATCCATAGTTAAAAACCTTTCCACAAAGAAAATTCCAGTAAATTCGATCGAACACATAGGAAGAAATAACATCAATCTGACACAAAATCTTTCAGATAAGAGAGCAAGAGAGTGCACTTCTCAACTCTTTATATGAGGTCAATATGACCTTGAAAGCAAAACCTAAAAAGAACATTACAAGAAAGGAAAAATCTGTCTCATGAACAGAGAAGCAATACAATAAACATTAGCAAACAAAATCAAATAATATATCAAAAGGATAATCCTCACCTCCACATTAGACTTATTCCAAAAATACAGGGTGGTTAAAAATTAGATAAGCAATCAATGTAATTTACCACATTAATAGAAATAAACTAGAAATCCACTCAATCAACTCAATAAATCCAGAAAAGACTTTTGATGAAATTCAACAACTATTCAGAATTAAAAACAAACAAACAAAACTCAGCAAACCAAGAATAAAAGAAACTTCCTTAATATGGAGAAAAGGTATCTAAAAAAATCCTTCAGCAAACATCAAAATTAATGGTAAAATGTCAAAAGCTTTCCATGTGAGATCATAAATGAGACAAGGATATCTGCTATCACCACTTCCATTTCATGTTTTATTAGAGATCCTATCCAGTGCAATAAGCCAAGAAATGCAAGAAAGAAGAAATTAAAAGATTAAGAATTGGAAAGAAAGAAATACAATAGTCATTATTCACAGGTAAGATGATAATATACCTAAGCAAATCCAAAAGAAAATCTCATAAATTATTTAAATTATCAGTTGAGTTTAACAAGATTGCTGAATTTAAGATAAAAAAAAATTGGGTATCAGTTTCTTATATGTGGAATACCATAATAAAATTTTTGTTTTTCATGTTCTACCATAATATATTATTTTAACAAACTATTTACTTATTAAAAGTTCTTTTCCTGCCATAAACAGTTCTGAGACAACATCACGAACTTCTACTTCATCTGTAACAATAGGTCCAGTTTGTAGTGTGCGCCTATTTGAATCAGAAAGAGCTTCTAAGACAGCCAGAAACCGGGATGCGGTGCTGTCAAACATCTCATCCAACAGCCGCTCTGTGATGGTACGTGGCCACGGCAACTGGAATAAAAACAAAAACAAAAACAAAAAACCACAGTCCACTTCTTTAAAGTTCTACAATGTTTAATATTATAAGCAAAGAGAAGTAAGGTATGCTTCACTAATGCTAAGAGTGGCTGGCCTATCATTGAGCTGGCTACTTTTATGGTGTTCATTTTTGAGGTGTTTCTCCAGACTCCATTAAAGTTTATGTCATAACACCATTATGTCAAAGACTGCTATTTCTTTATGTTTGTGTTTCCAAGGCAGCATTAAAAGGCTGTCTATTACTGTCTTTTTATTAGGGCAACATCAATCTCCATATGCTTTGTGTTACCTTAATTACAGCCTTCAGGAACTGATACTCAAACTTTGGTTGCCTAGGAATCTCTCAGGAGTGCTTTTTTTTTTTTAAGATTTTATTTATTTATTCATGAGAGAGAGGCAGAGGGAGAAGCAGGCTCCCCAAGGAGCACGGAGCCCGATGCAGGACTCGATCCCAGGACCCCGGGATCATGACCTGAGCCGAAGGCAGACTCAACCATCTGAGCCACCCAGGCGCCCTTCAGGAGTGCTTTATAGATTCACAGACCAAACCTTGAGATTCAGTGGGTCTAGATGGGGCACTTTTCATAAGCACCACAGGAAATTCTAATACAGAAGGTCCTTAAACCCAAATTTGAAAGAATATTTCACAGTATAAATAGCTGGTCTTGTGGTAGTTAACGAAAGAAGAATTGACCAGCTGTATAGCAATATGCTAATGACTTTTATGAGCCCTGTATGAATTCCCAGCCACTCTGCTTAATGATTTCCCCTCCTGCCTATGACTTGCCTCTACACTATTCTGACAACTGATCTGTTCTCTGTATTTAGGTTACCAGTAAGTAAGAGAAGCAGCTCTGGTCAGCTTTTTTAGAATCCATGTCCAGTTACAAGATACCCATCATATCCCCCATGTTTCCCCTGCTTCTCTCCTCTTCTTGGGGCAAAGTCAGAAAGACAGAAAAACATAAACAGGGTTAAAACTGCCTTGGACTATTTCTCCCCAAACATCAACTTCTCTACTCATTAGCTTCTATGACTTTTCAATCCATAGGTTAACTGATAGGTTAAAAACCTCAATGAACTTGAACTTCATGCCCTAGCCTTTTACAAACAGAGGTAAGGGTTTCTTCTAAGAATTTTACTGTAGGTTAAAACAGAGCTTTTAAAACATTATATTTAAAAGCATAATAAACTTTCTAATAATTAGAAGTATTCAAAATGAAATTATAAAAACCAAAGATTATAGTTAAATTATTTTTAGAAATACCAGAGAAAAACTAGCAAAAAGTGAAATAGAATATTTATCAGAGCTGTAGATGAATACCAAGTAAAACATTTTAAAATATAAATATTTAAAAGATCTATAAAAAAGATTTAAGGCAATAAAAAAACAATGGGTTGCCAAGCATGACAAGCAAATTATTAATGTCTACAAAAACGAGTTCATTTAAGTATATTTTAAAAATTAAAATCTCTAGTAGATAAATGGTCAAAAACTGTGGAAGATAAAATTCACAGAAGGAAATAAAAAGAGTAAACACAAATATAAGGGAAAGTTGGAACAAAGAAATAGTTAAAATGACAAGCCATTTTATAAAACTGAATTATTCAAAAAATAAAGAGGGATGCCTGGGTGGCTCAGTCAGTTAAGCATCTGACTCTTGATTTAGGCTGAGCTCATGATCTCGGGGTCGTGGGATCGAGCCCCAGGTCGGGCTCTGCACTCAGCGCAGAGTCTGCCCTAGATTCTCTCTCTCCCTCTCTCCTGCCCCTCCCACCACGTGCTCGCTCTCTCTCTCAAATAAATAAAAATCTTTTTTAAAAAATAATAGCAAAATGATAACAACTTGTAGTGAAATTGGTACCTGCAGGCTGTACCTTGCATAGCTATTTCAGAAATCAATTTGGGAATATATATCAGGAGAAATAAAAGTGCTTGTATCCTTTGATTCAAATCCTACACCTTGAACTTTGTCCACAGGAAATAAAAAAAAATAGCACATTGAAGCTGTTGATTATTTCAATATTTAGAATAACAAAGAACTGGAAACAACTAAAATTTTAAATAGTAATAAAAATATTTGACCAGTTACGGTACAAATACTGCATAGAGCATGTGAAACCACCTTTAAAAACATCCGGATGGATGAGAAGCTAAATGACATGATCCAGATAGTGTGTGCAACTTCTAAATACTATGGTTTGTATGACATCTACTCCATGAGATGTATTATATTAATCTCCAACATAATATACCTAGCCCAGTCAAGTTTAATTTCTCACTGTCCCCCAGTAAACTTTGTTTGCTCCTGCGTCCAAGCTATCATTGTGCCCTTGTCCTGTACTTAGAACACTTTATCCTCCCGTCCCTATCCACTCAAATCCTGCTCATTAGTCCAAGGCCATTCAAAAAGACAGAACTGTGACTTTGCTCTTCTATATTCCACCATACATGTAACCACGGTAGGCATTTAATACATTCTGTTAAATGAATGAATAAAAATAAATAATAGTAATAGCTAATATTCCTAAGGACCTACTGCATGCCAGAAACATTCTAAGGGCTTTACATGTAATTCATTTAATCTCTACCATTATTTCCTTTTTTTTTAATTTATTTGACAGAGAGAGACACAGCAAGAGAGGGAACACAAGCAGGGGGAGTGGGAGAGGGAGAAGCAGGCTTCCCGCTGAGCAGGGAGCCCGATGCGGGGCTCGATCCCAGGACCCTGGGATCCTGACCTGAGCTGAAGGCAGATGCTTAACGACTGAGCCACCCAGGTGCCCCTCATTATTTCCTTCTTAATACTTATCACAAACTATAATTACTATACTTATTTATTGTGTAATTTCTCCACTAGAATGTAACTCCTATCTTGTTCATATAGCAGGTAGTTTATTTTTTTTTTAAAGATTTTATTTATTTATTTGAGAGAGAATGAGAGATAGAGAGTACGAGAGGGAAGAGGGTCAGAGGGAGAAGCAGACTCCCCGCTGAGCAGGGAGCCCGATGTGGGACTCGATCCCAGGACTCCAGGATCATGACCTGAGCCGAAGGCAGTCGCTTAACCAACTGAGCCACCCAGGCGCCCCATATAGCAGGTAGTTTAAAAATATTTATTGAATGAATCACTAAACAGTCAGTCATTAGGAGTATGGATTAGTAGTCCTTTAAAGGAATCCTTTGAAAGTCAAACTGATTAACTGTGAGTTTACAACGGATTTACAAATTCAGAAATGTTTTATAAAATAGATTTAACGCGTATTGAAATTATTTTCTTTTGCAGACACATAATAAAATTATTTCATACATATAAAGCAGAACATTCTGCAAAGTATGTCAAGGTAATATACTATGACTTTATAAAAAGGGTATGATGACTATTCCCTATAGAAACTACCAACTAAACAATTATAACTTTTTTCTAAAAAGATATACCACCAGACTTTTCCATAAGATAATTATCTTTTTTTTTAAAGATTTTATTTATTTGATAGAGAGAGACGCAGTGAGGGAGGGAACACAAGCAGGGGGAGCGGGAGAGGGAGAAGCAGGCTTCCTGCTGATCAGGGAGCCCAATGTGGGGCTCAATCCCAGGACCCTGGGACCAGGACCTGAGCCGAAGGCAGACACTTAATGACTGAGCCACCCAGGCGCCCCTCTATAAGACAATTATCTTAAAGGAAACCAGAAATAGATGTGTTTTTAATGTAATGTTATCTGGAATTTGAAACGCTTCTCTTTGGAAATATATTTAATTTTTATTGAAGGATGATTATAAAGCATAATAATATGCTAATTAATGACAGTCTTGCAGCTTTGGATACTTAAATTTGGTTTGCTCAGAGAAAAAAAATTGCTAGCCAGAAAAAAAAATACCTACCCCTTGCTCTCTTACAAATCCTATAGAGCGTTACTACTCAACAATACCAGATGCGGGGGCGCCTGGGTGGCTCAGTCGTTAAGCGTCTGCCTTCGGCTCAGGTCATGGTCCCAGCGTCCTGGGATCGAGCCCCGCATCGGGCTCCCTGCTCCGCGGGGGGGCCTGCTTCTCCCTCTCCCACTCCCCCTGCTTGTGTTCCTTCTCTCTCTGTGTCTCTCTGTCAAATAAATTTTAAAAAAGCAAAAAAAAAAAAAAAAAAAACAATACCAGATGCAGGCAGTTCCACAGCTCATCCAAAGAATTACCTATGATTGGGCAAGTCCCCACCCCCACTGATTATCCACCATTGGTCAGTAAGGGATATGATTTTAAAAGGATGTATGAAATGCACCTCTGGGCTCAGCAGCCAACATACCATAGTCACACTAAGAAGCAATAGAAAGCTACCATGCCCACATAATTTCTGTATTTAGATATTATGATTTATTTTAGAGAAAAGAAAAATAACTTCTCCGAAATGTTATAAGAAGAAATGCATGAAGAGAGCAGCAGGCATCGGAGTAATGAGAAAGCACTGGCCCAGAGTCCCGTGGCTGCCTTTGTGGCCTTTGAGGCCATAGTTCAAATACTCTGGGCTTTATGTTCCCATATGGAATAGGACAGGACTGGACCAGACGATTTCCTAAATTTCTTCCGGGTTCTGAAATTCTACTACTCTCCTGTCCAAAACTGCTCATCTTCCCCTTCACTTTCATTTTTGGTCCCTAGCAAGAAGTTCACAGAAAAATTTACAGCCATCTAGGATACTCAGGGAAAGCTTCAAAGAAAAAAACCAAACTGGGCCTTCAGGGGTACTGAGATTCAGAAAGGCAAGGGCAAGACAGTGGGAGGACAAGGCAGGGGGAGAAAGGGCAGAGGACCCCAGAAGGCATGACTATGTCCCAGTCTCCCACCCCGACAGCCCTTAGTACTGCTGACCAAACATGCCAGGCGCCAGGAGAGCCATATGACAAGTTTTGACATGAGAAGAGACTGCGCTCCCTTCCATGCTGGGCGTTATTGCCTGTGCACAATTCTCCAGAGCTTTCTCCAATGCCCTACGGCAGAACGACCAGCAACTCTCCAAATGAGGGCTTCTCCTCACCCTCACCCTTAGCAGAGCCCCCTGTGAACTGCCGTAGCCATCATGTCAGTGGGAAATAAAGGTTGTTTTAAGCCACTGAGATATGGGGGTTGTTTTGCCTCAGTGTAGCCTGGTTCCTGAACACTCCCAAGGGTGAAGTCTGAAGCTGAGGAGAGAAGGTGCCTCCACCTTGTCTCCAACCTCAAAGCCCACTAAGCTAACACCAAGCAGTCAAAGACAAAGGCCTCCGTGGCACCACTCCAAGTCCGCATTTGAACCTTTCCCAGGCTCTTCTTCTTCATCTTGCCCTTTAAAGTTACAAAACTGGGATTGTGGGAAGGTATAAAACTTTAAGAAAGGGACGGAGTGAGGCTGTGTCCAAAGTGGGAAGGCATTCCTCTATTTGCCATTGGTGCCGAGAACAGGGGGCAGGATTTAATACTGAGTGACCAGGCTTCAAGGATGGGAGGTATAACACAAACATACTGCAAAGAGAATTTGAACAAGAGAAGACATTCTTAGACTTACAGTTTGAGCTTCCCTCAGGTTAACTCTTAACTTTGGTCTAAAGAGACTTTTGTTTTTTCTTCTAGATTCAAATACTCCTCTTTTGAAGATCATCACTGCCATCTGTTTCAGAAAAAGAATTATATATGAGGTAACAATGGGATGCACTTCTCAACCACTAACATTAAGTACTTAATCAACTATATAGTGCAGTAAATTTCTTTTATTTCATGAAATTTTTATACCTTTATTGTGGCCTCTCTATAATGTCTTCTGGATTCTTCCTGTGATTGTGAGGAACTCATTAATTCCAGTTGCCTTAACTCATCAATTTTAGCTAAAGCACGCCGAGCAAATGCCTGTATGCAATTAAAATAAATTTAATTCATAGTAAGTGAGAGTATAGTGATTAAAAATGTATCAAGACAGCATGTTTTATTCTTCCAGATATTTGATTTAATTGGTGAATTAAACTCTAGGTTGATGCTAACTCCTTGTAACACTATAACTATCCCATCAATCATTTCCTACAAGCATTCCAAAATTCTGCAGGCCTAAAGTTAATAAGCTGTCAGATATGCTAACTTTATGAATCAAGAAAATCAAAAAAGTAAGAAAAGCCAAATTCTGTAGCTTCATATAGATGATCACTTCTCTGGTATCACATACACACACACACACACGGCACACACACCCTTCCTCGAAATACTGACTTTCTTACTAAAGCATCCTGTACTATCTAGTCAACTGTTCACTTTGTCCACTAAATTGTGAGGTCCGCATAGGCTCTTATTTATTTTTGTATCTCTAGTACCCAGCATATAGGAAGTATTTACTAATATCTGGACAAAAAAGAAGGAAGGAAGGAAGGAAGGAAGGAAGGAAGGAAGGAAGGAAGGAAGGAAGGGAGACCTGCTTATTTAATCAGATCACCATTATTATGATTCTCTACAGTTCAATTTATGTCATTTATTTTACCATTTCTTTGAAATATTTCATCTATAATTTATAATTTTTCATGTAAATGCTTCTAGACATAATAACATACATGAAGGGTTAAATTTTCCAGTAAGGAAGAATTCCAATAGGAATCAAATAGTCCAAACTGTGTATATGTTCTCTTCCCTGACAATTTTAATAGCTACAGAAACATGTCACCACTAGTACACACTCTAACTAACTGTACATGCATGGTGAATAGTTTCTAGAATGTACCCCGGGCTAGAAAATGTACCCCTCAAGGGCTGCATTAGGCTATTCAGGACGAGCCACTACCATCCAATCCTTCAGAATTAGTTTGGGCAGGAAACATTAAATGTAAAGAAGTCACTAACCGGCCTGATGGTTGTGAACAGGATACGAAAAGATTTGTACAGATGTGATGGTTCTGTCCTGCACAAGACTTCCAGCCAAGAGGTTGAGTGAGGGCTGCAATCCAGCACCCCTGCACTCAGCAGACCATGCACTCTGTGGAGGCCTGAAGGAAGGGGTGCCTGCTTCTGATTCTCACCAAGCCCTCACCCAGTGACAAGCCAGCTACCACGTACTGTAGAGAGGGCGCCTTTGTTCATGGACACAGAGGTACCATAAAGGCTAATAGAAGCGCCTAACAGCTAAGTTACATTTCAAGTATTCAGTCTAAGAGATACACAGGAAAAGAAGAAAAACAAGAAATCGGGCGTATTAAACAAATGGCAGCTGGAAGCAGAGAAAAGCAAGACAAATGGACTGTAGGGGGACTGGAAGGAAAGTGACTTGCATACAAGCATCCAATGAGGAAGACAGGATACCCGAAATCTTGTCCAGAAAAGGGGCAGAGGAGGCAGAAGTGAACGGAGAAGAAAGGAGAGAGCAGAATACAGAACAAGAGATCAACAGAATGGAGAAGCCAAGCACATTTCTGCAAATAAACCCTGGGACTTGTGTCTTGTCCCACTGCAATTCTTTAGGTTTCGTTTGTCTGTTTGCGTTTGTGTTGCTGGGCATCTGAAGAAGAAAATGCTGAATAACTTATATTTTTAAATACTGGAATGCTGAGCGTGGAAGGCGGCCCACCTCTCCGTGAATGCCAGCCTGGCAGTCATAATAGCCCTGGCAGACAGCGGTGTAAAGGGTAGCTCTCCACGTCAAGTACCTGACCGACAGGAGGGGGACCGAGAACTCCATACACGAGCTGGCCCACAGGAGGTACTCCAAGGCCTGAGAGAGAAAAAGCACACTCGAATGTATTTCCATTTTAAGTTATCAGTGACGATTTCTATCTAATATAACCAAATTATAAGTCATGAGCACAAGTTGCTGACTGCTTAAACCAAAAATACCATAGATAGTGAGTCAAGAGAAAACAAGCACTTAAAAAGTAAAGGAACAATTTCAAGAACTCGAAATCTCAAGTTAGTGATTTTAGGATGTCTTCCTTCTTAGCTCCTAAAGTGCTCTGAACTCAGCTGGTTTTTATTAATATCGGTCAAGGGTCCACAGCAGTGGAGGAGGTAATTTACATTATGTTTCTATACCTACATATCTCCGTTACATCCAATGCCATTAATATGCTCACGTGGGTGTGATTCCAAAGCTAGACTGTAATCTCTTTGAGAACACAAATGGCACTTTGTTATTATATCATCAGCACCTGAAAGAGTACCAGGCACACAGTAGATATCCCCAAGTGCTAGTAAATGCATTCCGTGGACAAACCTTAAAGTCAGCAGAATCAACACAGGAAAGCTAACAAGTCTTTGAGTTGCTCAAGAAAATAATGATAATAAATTTGGACAACAGAATAAAGTCCTTCTTCTAATAACAAATTCGGCCCTCAATAATTGAGGAAGTAATTAAGGAAAAATATGTCTGTAATAGTCAACTCTTGAAAAGGCAAATCATCAAAATGATCCAGGAGCTTCATATGCATAAAGCAAACCCACCAGACTGACATAGGATTTAATAGTAAAAATAGAGAAAACACCGATAACATTCAAACCCTATTACCATCTCTGGAGCCTTCAAAGACAGCACATACAACACATGTGCAAGCACCTCAGCTTTCTCATCTAAGAGAAAGACACCTGAAAGGCCAGAATTCTCCACTGTCTAGTCAGTTTTGATTCCGGAAGAAAAGAGAGTGCTGGAAGTAGAGCAGAGTTTGACAGGGAATTGTAATATTCTTTGCTATCCACTAAGCTCATCCCACCAGAATATAAAGTCACTTAGGAAAGGGACCTTGTCTGTCTTGTTCACCACCATATCCCCACCTCCTAAAATTATCTGGTGTATAATGGTAAATATTACATAAATATGTGTTGACTGACTGACCTTCATCAAAAAGCTCCAGTTAATGGTGCTAAATATGGAACTATGTCAAGTAATCATAGAATCAAAGGGCTGAAAGTCAATCTAATTTCATCCCCACCAATATCACTGGCACCACCACCAGATGTCCTATACCTTCCCCTGTCCAAGAGTTCTCACCTCTAGTAACAAGGAACCAGAAGACAATGCTAAAACATGAAAAGTGCTTCCTTAATCCGAAATGAAATCCATCTTAATATACCTCCAGTGCACTGGTCCTAGTTATGCCTTCTGGAATAACACAAAACCATCCCAAGCCCACTTCCAACTTACAGTCTTCCAAGAATCGGAAAACACCTATGCATCCTGTCTTCTCCCCCATCTCTCTCTCTCCAGGATAAACATCCCTGGGCACTTTTTAGATCTCCTAGGATTGCACTTCCCTTCTCCATCATGGTTAGTCTCTCATGGTTTTGCTCCAGGCTGCCAAAGTCCTTTAAAGTACAAGGCTTCTTCACAGTAAAATGAAACTTTCAGTCCCTGGTTCTGGACACTACATCTCTACTAAGTGGGCCCAGGGTTGCTTTATTGCTGTTGTTGCTGTTGTTGTTTGCTAAGCTTGCCACGCCGTGAACTGAGGTGGAATTAACAGTCATCCAAACGAGTTTTCTCACATTTGTCGCACAAAAATCCTATCGTGGATTTTTGCATATGTACTGTTGTGGTTTGTGGGGGTATGGGATCAACCATGTATAAATTTTCCCCCTTTAAATTCACATATCTTTTCAAAACCCCTTGGGATCGCTGATAATAGAAATTTCACATTTCAAGATAAAAATAGCTTTAGTCACCAATTGCTCACATTACATTTGGGTTCATATTCAGACTTAGAATAAAAGACCCCGATCACATATTTTAGTGCCAGAGGGACCTTAAAAGTAACCCAATCTAACTCCAAGAGGCTAAACTGCTTGTAAGCAACAGAGCTGGGGCTGGAATTCAAGGTCTTTGGACTCCCAAGGACAGCAGCGTTCCTTCCACAATATGCGGCAACCCTGACAAAGGAGGAGTTCTGAAAACCCATCATTCCACTTAGGGTTCTGAAAAACTGTCAGGTTTACAGATGAAAAAGCCATCCCTAAAAAAAAAAAAAAATCTTAATTTGTAGCCTTTTTTCTTGCCCCTAAAAGCTCGGAAGAAAAATTTTTTTACTTAAAAAAAAAAAGTTGATGGGATTTCAGTGAACTGTTCTCTTTATAAGGGAAAAAAAAATTTGAAAAACCCAGTTATAAGAGCCCTGCAAGAGCATGCTCAGGTGTTGAGCAGGAAAAACACACGCGATCCATCATCTCAGCCACAGGATGGCGCTGCAGCACCATTTATGTCCTCTTGTACCCTTGGCTGAAAACACAGAGGCACTTCAGTTTGGATTTGAAGTTTACGTAAAGGTACGTGGAATAATTTGACAGTAATTGTCCAAACCACAAAATTTTACTAAACTATTTCAGTTCTATAGTAAAATGAAACAGAAGTCAACTTTTTTTTTCTTAATGAATAGATTCTACCGTATATCTCTAATGTTTGCTGAGTACCCTACTACAGTTTTAAATGCCTCAGAAGAAATTACAGATTAGACCGTAAGTGAAAGCGAAGTTGTCATATGTCTTTAGGAAAAGAGGCTTCAGAAATCTGGCCTCCCTCCACTCCCTAAGGTTATGCTGGTGACCTGTCTGAGCACGAAAGTAAGTGTTTCCCATCTAGGGAAAAGCCCCCTGGACAGTCCCGGTCTTCAGGACATCTTCAGGAATACAGAGTCAGGTCGAAAACTATTAACCCTCCTACACGGCTCCTCCATTTGAGTAGGTGGACCAAAATAGGATGGGTCATGACAGGACTAAATTTAGTTGACAGGCATGCATTACCGTAATGGTGTTGAGAGGCAGTACAGTATAGCATTGGCCCCAGCTACTCCGCTCTGTGAGACATTGAGCCTCAGCCTCCTCATCTTTAAGCTGAAGGTAATAATAGCACCTTTCTCAAAGTGGTGGTATGAGGATTAAATGAGATAATATGTGAAGAAAGTGCTTAGCAGCATACCTGATAAATGGCAGGCATTCATTTGACAAATGATAATGATGATGAGAGTGCACACCTCATAAGGCTATACTGAGCATTATATATGCAAAGCCCTTCACATAATACCTAACACATAGTAGGGATTCAATAATAATAACAAATGGTAGCCATACTGTCTAGATCCTGTAGGAACAGGAGCTTAGATTGCTCTAGGATGACACCAGGAAAACCCTGGGGATCCCATGTCTGTTTCTCTTTCTGTTGTATGCTACACAGACTCAAATTCTAAAACTGCTCATACTCGGAAGTGCTCAGGTGTGGCTGGACCTCCAAGGGCTTGTTCCCATTAAATGGACCCATCAAGTTCATTTATAGCCTCAGCTCAGGAATCAACTCACCAGCTGAGGGCTTGGGAATTTCTGGGTGAAAATTATTAATTTCCGTGAAATGTATTATAGTGAACAAACTGAAAGAATCTCATTCCAATCTTCAAGTGCCAACTGTACAACCACCCACCACCCCAAATTCTTGCATCTCTCACTCCCCCCACTCCTATTCCACAAGACTGGGACCACAGAACTATCTTCCTTCAGCCCTTACCTTGTCAGACAAAAGCACAAGTTCAATAAGGGGGAGGGGAGATGTCTTCTGCAGGATCTAAATAAAATTATTTTAAGATGACAATCGCATGAAAGTAAAATTCTCTCAGCATTACTAAGTACAAACACTAACAGTTCCATCTTGGCACAGAGATCTCTGCCCTTCGAGGCTTTGGCAGACAAAAGCTGTAGCAGACCAAACCACGATGGCTCTGTGCAGCAGGATTTGTTGCTACAGCAAGTGCAACAAGAGTACGCAAATCCTCTTTAGGAAATCATCTGGAACTGAATGTAGAATTGTTGGAATAGTGTGTAGGCCACATTTACATTATTCATGAGACAGTCTCCCCTCATTTCAATTTACATCCAAAACACTGGCACAGAGCTTGCTCGAGTCACTGTCAGTAACAGAGCTTTTAAATGTGAGGAACTAAACAGAGAGAGAACACATAATTAATGTTATGCATCGCGCATGCAAGTATCTTTGCTTCCATTTTTACTTTTTAAGGATTGTCAAATTTTAAGATACTTGGCTATATTTTGAAGAAATAAGAAAGTATCTGCACTGAGTATTAGAATATTCAGTATAAGGTTTTGCATGCAGTAAAAAATAAATAAATAAATAAAGCAGTAATGTTTCAGATACCAGAAACAGTTCAAGCCTGCTCTCAACGCAAGTGTATTCTCCCGTCTTGGCCCACATTCCAATGACTGGACATTGACACATGGAATAAATATGTCTCCTACAGACAAAAGTGCTACCAACATTGAAGGGAAGTGTCAGCCACTTCCTCGAGCTCAAACTGAGCAGTAAGTACTAGTAAGTATGAATCTTATTGTAAAATAAAGGCCCCTTGCCCTCAGCTCATAACTGGGACAATGTTTAGGTGGACATTCACCCAACTAGCATGTAGGCCATAAGTCAAGTCCAAGCTGTTGGAGGAGAATGAAGTCCAAACTCCATGGCAAACATAGAGTCACCACATATTTAAGGAGCAAAAGGGAGCACTATTAATAATTACTCTAGGTCAACAGACATTAACCAGGACTGTCCCAGCAAGCCAGGATGGATGGTCACCCTACCTAAAGAGATAGTTACCAGAGGGATGTTCAGTATCAAGTTAACAAGTAATGACTAATCTGAGAGACTGAGGGACACTGGAGATTACCTATCAATTTTAGGAATTCTTTTTTTTTCATTAATATGTTATTGTCTTTTTATTTTTAGAGAGAATCATGTTAAAGTAAAAGAATAGTAAAACTATATTTATTAAATTTTGTTATATAATTCACTAATTTTCTTTGTTCAGCACTCAATGCTAAAAAAAGTCTTGAGAAAAACAGGAAATAGAGGGCAAGATGTTTTGTCAGTAAATTTCATACCTTGGAGGACTGACCTATGATCATCAGTTTTCTGCAAATGGTGTAAATGTAAATGGTACCTAGATGAAGAAAAAGACTGTTAACGTGTTTTACAGTTAAATAATGGAAATTTTATATTCTAATTTCTGTAGTTTAAATCTATAGTTCCTAAAACAAGTGAAGTTATGAGAAAGTCTGGTAATGGTTAGAGAGTTATAATCATTACAATTTCTTTTGTAACTTGCAGCCAAATCATTAAAAGAACTAATTTGACCATATGTTAAGTAAGTTGACATAGGAATCTTTTATCCTCATTTGAAAGGCAGCATAAGTTTTGAAATATATTGAAAAAATAATATTTAAGTAGTATAATTTATGCACCCTGTGGTTTTTATTAACTTATATAAAATGCTATTGGTGCCCATGGTTTCTTTATGACTGAAAAACTAAAGACTAATCTCCAGATAAGATTAGGATACATATTTCATCAAAATGGCACAATACTTAACAAGGAAGCTCATGATAATTTAAAAATCAAAACATATAAGAGTTCACATTTTATTTATTTGCAGTCTCATAATTATATTTACTCCTTTATTAAGGTATGTCCTATAAGCACTCTAGTGAAAAACAGCATTTCCAACTCCTATTTAAGACCATTCAAGTATGATTTTTTTTTTTTTGGTCAGGCCATTAATTAAATGAAAACAGAAGGCTAGAAAACTGGCAGAGCTGGGGCAGGGGTGGGGAACAGCATCACCAGACATCTCTCTATATGCAAAGGACATTATTGTGCTATAAACATACCCCAAAGATGGTAACGTGACTTAAAAAGCATGTAATTATGACAAGTAGTCTAAATATTTTCTATAAAATATCTGATCTAAAATTCAGAACCATCCAAATTCAACAATTACAAATCCATATTCACACTTAAACTTTAAAAGCTTCTGAGAAAACAGCATCTGCTCCAAAACACACATCACTTGATTAAAATACACTTGTAAGCACAGCATAATAAACATTAATTACATAAGTCAGTGACAAAAAATACTGAATAAACTTTTAAACACTTGCAGCACCATAAACTTTATGGAGAATGCACTAGGTCCTTAACATTCAAGGACTCAGCCTTCTTAGTGTGACTGCCCCTGGGACATGGGATTAGTTATTTCACATAAGATTCACTAGGAAAGAAACCACTTGGCTACTAACAGCTCAAGCCCAGCATTCTTATCTCAACTTGGCTTTGTTGACCTCTGATCTTAATCTTTAACAATGAAATTGTCTGACTGTGTTTATCTTAAAAGTCACCAAGTAAGGATACCCACAGCCAACTCATGCCTCCCCGCAGAACATGTGATTCAGGTGTAAGCCAGGAGCCTATATTAAACATGTCAGTAACAGGAACTGGGGAATTTCAGAAGACCTCAGCAGACTGCCCTGAAGAATGACAAGGGCCCTCTGTATTTTTAATATGAGATTTTAACTTTTCCAGACCTAGTATGTCCTGACTATAACTGAATCCTTCTCTGGTGGTTCAGGATCTTGGCATGGCCCACAAATTCCCACTGCAGAAGCCTGACAGAGAGAGTAAATGACATAAAATGGAACACAGGTTGAATCTTTACAATCTCGGGATATCTCTGGAAGTTTGTTTTATTTTTAACCAAATCCCTAATACGAGTTTATTGCCTTGTCATGTGACTCCTTTTCATCAAAGATGGCCACCACCAAAATAATCCAGCTATGTGAGGGTTGAATGAGTTGAGTTCAGGTTGGTTGTGAAATAAGGTATTATGTAATAGTCATACACCCAGTTAGAGTCTATGAAAGAACCAAAACTAGTTAACTATCTTAAGAAACCAAGAGAGTGTATTTGTTATAGTCAATTAAAAATAAAGAGAAACAGTATTAATGTCTAACAGAAAAGGTGAAATGCTTTTTGATAAATTGACTGTAGGTCAATTTATTTTTCATTACTCAAACGCCAAACTTTAAAAACTACAAGGTCTTTGCATTTGTTAATCCCCCAGTCGGAATGCCCTCCCCCGAAATATCCAGATGTCTCAGTCAGGTGTTCACTCAAGTGTCATCTCAGTGAGGCCTTCCCTGACCATTCTGTTTAAAAGAGCAGCTCAGCCCCAGCCCAACCTCGGCTCTCCCTATCCCCTTCTTAGCTTTATTTTTCTCCGTAGTACTCATCGCTATCTGACACACCATTTAATTTTTGTTTGTTTATCATCTCCCTGAAGCATTATGTAAGCATGAGAACAGAGTTTTTGTCTATTGTCTACTCCTGTGTCCCTAGCACTTAGAACAATGTCTGGCACTTCATAACTTTGAGATGACTTCATTAAAACAGGGGCAGTAATTAGCAAAACTAAGTATATGCATCTTGCACAACCCAGCAATCCTACTCCTGGACATAAATCCCAGAAAACCCTAACACAGAATTATAAAAGGACATGCATAAGAATGTTCATCACAGAATCATTTGTGCAATTATAGAGGTAGGGCAAACCAGGTGCCCATCTCGAGGGGTGTATGGATATCTGGAATACAATTCAACAGGCAGAAATAACGAATTAGATTTATATAGGAACCTCGTTCTGTTCTAAAACCATGGTATTGAGTAAAAAAATATTTAGGAAACAGAATAAAATCCAGAGCATGACTATATGTATAAAAAAGCACACACCAAATAAAGGTATATAGAAGATACAGAAATTGGTGTTTTGTTTTGTTTTTAGAATATTGGGATTTTTTTGCATGTGATCTTAAAAAGACCGCAGACAGGGAATTATTCCACCTCTCAAGCAAGGCCCAACTGCAGGCCCCAACCCTCAGGCCTACCACTGCTTCCTGAGCACAGAACCTCTGGTCCTGCTCAGTCCCTGCCAAGATATGTGAGCAACTCAGGGGGAAGGACGGCAATGGCTACTCAGGGAATCACAGATCTTCTTGAGGATGATCAGGCGAAAAAGTTTAATAGTCACTGGACTGAAAATTTCTTCCAAAATCAGGCTCATCTGAGGCAGCAAATGTAAGGTCCAATTTCAATCAAAATGTCAAAAAAAATTACTTGGGGAGGAAGAGGAGGGAAAAGGCTAGGAAATGTACTTTCAGTTGCCATGGATGAGGGAAAATCCAATACGTTTTCTTTCAAGTTATTTTGTCCTGCTCTTACACACATAGAACACGCTGTCATTTTCCTTTTAAGAAATTATCCAGAGATCAATATAGTAGGTGACTATAACTTCAAAAAGAATTTAAATTGAATTTAAGTTGTAACTCCTTAAAGAGAAAAGCTGATGCTGTATTTTGATAAATATGATTCATTTCACAAGACAAATATAATGCATATATGTATATTTGTATTTATACAATGTAGATATGTATATAAATACACTATACACACACACATACACATACATTTTCAAAGCTCCTCACTCAAAAGCAAGTAGGAGGAGAAGGTTGACAGGTAGAAAGCAATAGTCACTGGACAAAGTGTTTGAGGAAAGGACCAATAAATGGATGATGCTTAGAACCAGTCTAACCAGCAGCAGTCCTTTGATCCTTTTCCACCTATTTTTGCTTATTAACCATGGCCCCTACTTCTTCATACCTGAAACTGACTATACCCACAGGCTCTGATCCTTCCTTGAAGCAGGAAGCCCAAAGACATGCTTTTCCTGCTTATGAGGACAAACAAAAATATAAAAAAGACAAAAACAAAATCCCCATAATCATCCTATTATGAAATGAATGGGGTTTTTTAAAAGAAATTATTTATTTATATTTGAAGAAATTTTTTAGAATTTGGATATGTAATTTGGTTTTTTGTTTTTTTTTATTTTTATTTACATTCTAGTTAGTTAACATACAGCGTAATACTAGTTTCAGGAGTAGAATTTAGTGATTCATCACTTACATGTAACACCCAGTGCTCAACACAAGTGCCCTCCTTAATACCCATCACCCATTTAGCCAAGATAATCAATCAAATTACGATCAAACTTGGCATTTAAATAACTTCCTGAAAATCATGATGAGAAATAGAAGACATTGGCACGTACCATTAAAGATAATCCAGCAAAGGTGTTCCTGTGGCAAAGCCACCTGCATGATAAGTCTTAAGGAGGACAAAATATGCAGACACTGGCTCACAGAGTCTTTATTCTTCAGGTTCACATCATTGTCACAGACCAGCTCATAGTTGCAAATATTTTTGCCACTTAAAGCATGAAACTGAAACATAGGGAAAATATAAATAAGAATATAAATAAGGTTCATGTAACCTAGAAAAGCATTTCTTAAAATGTGAAAAAATAAAATAAAAATGATTCTGCTTAAATAGATTATATAGTGCTATAGACTGAATGTTTGTCCCCCACCAACTGTATATATTGAAACCCAATCCCTAGTGTGATGGTATTTGGATGTGAGGTCTTTAGGAAGAGATTGTCACGAAGGTGGAGCTTTCATGAAAGAGATTAGTGCCCTCATAAAAGAGAACCCCAAAGAGCTCCCTACTGCCTTCTACCATGTTAGGACACAGAGAGAGGAGAGCCATCTATAAACCAGGAAGTGGGCCCTCACCAGACACCAAACCTTCTAGTACCTTAACCTTGTGGTTCCCAGCCTCCGGAACTGAGAGAAATAAGTGTTATTTAGACCGTCCAGTCTATGGATTTTTGTTATAACAGCCCTCAAGGACATAGGGAAAGAAATGTGGTAAAATAGGTTTCTTCAAAGCATCCTTTTAGTTAGGCTTACTTGTCCTTAGTCATAAAAATTTCAAAAGCCAAAAAAGGTACAAATTCTATTTCCAACAATATAGAACTGAATCACATTTTGTAAACCCTCCTCGTAGTATTTTAACTTCTTAATCTGGATGCAATTATTACCATTTACATAATTCACTCAGTAAATGTTTGTTGTGCACCTCTATTTGTCACACTCTGCTAAGCAATAGGGACTCAAGGATGAAGAAGATGTGGTCCCTGCTCTTGGACAGAAGGAAAAGCATTCCAGGCACAGGCAATGTTAGGAATGCTTAAAGTGGTTGCTGTGGTCACTGAACTGAAAGTCCTTTATAAGTTTGGATAAAAAGGCTTAAAATAGAGAGATTAGGGGTGCCTGGCTGGCTCAGTTGGAAGAGCATTCAACTATTGATCTTGGAGTCATGAGTTCCAGCCCCATGTTAGGTGTAGAAATTACTACAAAAAATCAGCTTTGGGGCTCCCAGCTGGCTCAGTTGGTGGAGCATGCCACTCTTAATCTCAGGGTCATCGAGTTTGAGCCCCACGTTGGTGTAGAGATTACTTAAAAATAAAATCTTTAAAAAGAGAGAGAGAGATTAGGCTATTAAGGTGGTACATGGTCAGAACATGGAGTGCATTCCACATCATTCCAAGGACCATGGACTTTAGCCAAAGGAGAAAGTCAAAGGGAAAGGGCAGTGGAATAAAATGATTTGATTTATAATTCAGAAGTTTAGAAGTTAATTCTGACAAAAGTGTGGAAGATGAAAAGCAGAAGATGGGCACAAAGCTACAAGGAGGGAAACTAGGAGAGATCAAAGGCCTTTGACGTAGTCCAGAGATACCAGGGTCCTGAAATGGGTGCTGGAATCAGAGATGAAGAGGAAGAAACATTTTGTTTTGTTTTTTTTAAGATTTATTTATTTGAGAGAGCAAGAGAAAACATGAGCACATGTGTGCATGCTCAAGGGGCACCTGGGTGGCTCAGTCATTACGCGTCTGCCTTCAGCTCAGGTCATGATCCCAGGGCCCTGGGATCAAGCCCCACGTCAGGCTCCTTGTTCAGCAGGGAGCCTGCTTTTCCCTCTCCTCCTGGCTTGTACTCTCTCACTATCTCTCCTTCTCTCTCTCTTAAATAAAATCTTTAAAAAAAAAAAAGGGTGGGGGAGGGGCAGAGGGAGAGGAAGAATCCTAAGCAGACCCCACACTGAGTGCAGAGCCTGACGTGGAGCTCAATCCCAGGACTGGCGACCATAACCCCAGCTGAAGCCAAGAGTCAGATGCCCAACCAACTTCACCATGCAGGCACACCGCAAAAGGAAAAATTTAAGTTTTGTCTGATTCAATGGGATTTATAATTTTTTTTAAATATTTTATTGATTTATTTGAGAGAGAGAAAGTGAGCGAGAGAGAGAGAGCATGAGTCAGGGAAGGGGCAGAGGGAGAATCAGACTCCCTGCTGAGTAGGGATGTGGGGCTCGATTCCAGGACCCGGGGATCATGACCTAAGCAGAAGGCAGACACTTAACTGACTGAGTAACCCAGGTGCCCCCTGAGTCCATGGGATTTAGATGTGGGAGGTAAGAGAGAGAAAGCGGTCTAGAGTAGTTAGGTGAGTAGTTGGTGCCAATTATGGAGGAAAGGGAACGAGTTCAGTTTAGGATATGTGGAGTGTGAGATGGTCGTGATATGAATCTCAGAAGAGAGATTTTGGCTAGAGAATCATCACTACTGCTAAAGCTGTGGGAGTGCACACACAATAGCACAAATGGGCCTTCCTCTACCACATGAGATTTCCCACTGGGATACACGTATACTATTTCTAGCATCATATTTTTTTAGTGTCCGGCCCTATTCTAAGTGTTTTATTATCTCAGCAATCCTAAAACAATCCTTTGAGGTAAGTCTTATCATTCATTCTTTACAGATGAGGAAACTGAGACACAAAGAAATTACATAACTTCTCCGGGGTCCCATCATGAGGAAGTGGTGCAGCAGCTCTTTGCACCCAGGCAGGCTGGCTCTAGAGACCAGATTCTTACCAACTCTGCCACAATGCCTCCCTACAGTCCATACAAGGGGGATCATGAAATAACATGAGTATCTTTGCATACAAATATTTTGACAGTAAATTCTACATTACTGCTTCATCTATGATTTTTATGCATTTAACTCCAAAATCTATTTCTCTAACAAAACTTCTCAAGACCTCTAAGGTCTTCATTGTCCAGTTCCTACTGGACTACATTTTCAATCCATTCATTCTCTTACTCACTTATTTTATAGATATTTATTGAGAAACACAGTGTGCCAGAACCTCAAACTTAGCGTGTAAAAAACCAAATTCTTCATAGCTTTTCATGCCCTTCACAGCAGTCCTGCTGCCATACCCTTACATTGGCTTCATTGCTTTACCATCTGCCTCTAGTCTTTGTCCTTCTAATCTATTCAGTGTAGTGCTTCCAGATTAATAATTCTGACTATATCACTTAATTTATTCATTCACTTAGTAAAGCTTTATTGACCATCTATTACACACTATTATATCTATTACATGATTATTGTGACACAATCTCCAAAACATCTTTACAAAGTTTAATAAGTGCACTTTCTTATCCATCACTGAAAACATTTATTAAGCAACTTACAGCACACAAGCAAATGCCATGCTAAGCAAATAAAAGACATTTAGAAGCTGTCAACTAAAGAACACATTGCATGGCTAATCATAAATTGTAGCTAAAATAGCTACTGCTTTCATCTTACTGTATGTGCTGCAGTTTTGTCTCCAACGCCTTTTGGGAAAAAGGCAGTTTTGAATCAATTCATTGTTCTAGGCGCTAGAGGTTAGAGATTAGAGCAGCACCTGTCCTCATGAAGCTCATATTCTAGAAGGGAAGACAGGCAATAAAAACATAAGCAAATAAATATGTATCTGATGATAATAAGTAATATAAAGAAAAATAAAGCATGAAGTGTAAGAGACCTGAAGGAAGAGATGGATGATCCACACAGCTATCTAGGATACGAGCTTTCTAGAAGGAGCTCACCAGTGCACTGGTACTAAGCCAGAGAGGCTGGGTGGAAGCAGAATCACACAACAGTACAAGAAAAAGATAGGGCCGCGGACCAGGGTGGCACAGGAGGGGACTTAAAAGCCTAAACTCCTAAGCTTTTCATTCAGTACTCTTCCCAGTGGGATGCCAATTTATATTACCTGGTATTCTTATTCACGTACTTATGGTACAGCCAAATTGAACTGCTTAATGTGCCCCAAACATGCCTTGTGATTTTCTGCTAGTAAACTGTATGTTGTTTCCAAAGCCTTGAATAATCACCAAGTTTGGAATAACACAGCTTTGGAATCAGACTGATTCAGGTTCAAACACCAACTCTACCCATTGCTTTCTTTTTTTCTTTTTTTTTTTTTAAAGATTTATTTATTTATTTGACAGAGAGAGACACAGCGAGAGCAGGAACACAAGCAGGGGGAGTGGGAGAGGGAGAAGCAGGCTTCCCACGGAGCAGGGAGCCCGATGTGGGGCTCGATCCCAGGACCCTGGGACCATGACCTGAGCCGAAGGCAGACGCTTAACAACTGAGCCACCCAGGTGCCCCCATTGCTTTATTTCTTAGTCTCTGTTTCCTCATCTGTAAAAGAGGCATTACAGTACCCACTTTCTAGGACTGTAATCAAGCTACAAGAAGAAAATTCATATAATGCATACGGAAGAGTATAGCACCTCGTCCGGTGAATGAATGGTAGCAATTAACATAAAAATAACACTGGTATATTAGAAATAAAGCATCACATTTTTTGTATTAAAAGATCTATGTTTGGGCGCCTGGGTGGCTCAGTTGTTAAGCATCTGCCTTCAGCTCAGGTCGTGATCCTGGAGTCCTGGGATCGAGCCCTGCATCGGGCTCTCTGTGGGAAGCCTGCTTCTCCCTTTCCCACTCTCCCTGCTTGTGTTCCCTCTCTCGCTGTGTCTCTCTCTGTCAAATAAATAAAATCTTTAAAAAAAAAAAAAGATCTATGTTTGATCACCTGTGCCGTTAGCTTTCTTTCTCTCTTTTGTAAAGTAAGGGTAACAATAGTTTCTAATTCATAAAGTTACTGAGGATCAAATATGTTTTCCAAAGCACTTTGTAAACTAAAAGCACTCTACAAATATTAGTTACTATAATAATAATAACCGTCTGCTGGAAGAATGAATGATTATTGTGACACAATCTCCAAAACATCTTTACAAAGTTTAATAAGTGCACTTTCTTATCTATCACTGAAAACATTTATTAAGCAACTTATAGCGCACAAGCAAATGCCATGCTAAGCAAATGAAAGACATTTAGAAGCTGTCAACTAAAGAATACATTGCATGGCTAATCATAAATTGTAGCTAAAATAGCTACTGCTTTCATCTTACTGTATGTGCTGCAGTTTTGTCTCCAAAGCCTTTTGGGAAAAAGGCAGTTTTGAACTGATTCACGTCTGCTTTATTCTCATCAAAGTTGATAGTGAACTGCTGAAGATACCTTCCATAGCACTGTAAAAGCGCCAATTTATATTCCTGAAATAAAAAAAGGACTTGATGAAAGTTTCAAAGTATCATTTTGCTTATCATTATTAAAATCCAGTAATAATCAAATTATTCTTAATAGTATCAATGTTGATTATTACTGTAACACTCTTTTACTACCACCATTACATTATTACTACCATTACCACTAGCATTTCTGAACACATATTGTGTGACAGACACCGCACTGGGCGCTTCGTGTGCATTACTGCATTAATTCTCCTCCCAACAAGCCTACTGTGAGATGAGACCATCACAATCTCAAAGATGAGAATATTCACCAGGGTGTGAATAATGATGACATAATCATGAGAATATTCACCAGGGTGTGTGTGGTAATACCTATATATAGTCAAAATCCAAAAAAATTCATCATCACCATGTCATGGTAATCCACCTACTCAGAGAGGCAGATGAGTTGCATAACTAGCCTTGCTTCTCTGATACCTCCTCTATGTTCCAAAAAAGAAAGAAAGGCGGGGTAGGGGAGGGAGGAAGGGTGGGAGGCAGGGAGGGAGAAGAGAAAAGGAGGGAGAAAAGGAGGAAGGAGGGAGAAAGAGAAAGAAGAAAGAAGGCAGGAAGGGAGAGGAGAGGAAAGGCTCTCTCTCTCTCTCTCTCTCTCCTCTGTCAACAGTCTCTGAAGCTGCATCAGGACAAATAAAAGAAGCCCGAGCTATTGTTAGTTAGGATTCCTGTTAGTCCTAATTCATGCTTATGTTTCCATTACAAAATCAGGGCTCATTTCAGCAGTGCACAGGGCACAGCTGACCTGGAGTTTCAGGGCAGGGGAGGTGAGCAGGGCTATGGATTCCAGTCAACTGCACCCCTTCGTCAGTTTCCTCCCTACAACTGTCTCCAGGGAAAGCAACTACTCTAGGTGTCTCCTGCCTATAGGGTTACCTAGGCCCTTGGAAGGCATCCACAGTCAAACTTTTGTTTCTATTTCTACTGACTTGTTTGCTACTTTTCACTAGTTGATTCTGAATCTTTTCTTTTCTAACTTGGTTCATATGATAAATTCAAATCTAGGTTCAAAATAAGACTATTCCAACAAAATGATCTTTGCTAGAATTAAATAAAACTAAAGAGATTCTAGAACCAAAGGAACAACTCAAGTTCATTTTCAGGAATCTAAATACCTTTATCAGCCCACTTTCTCATCAGTGAAAAGTAGATTAAAAATGTTTTCTTTGTTCCTTTACGTAAATTTTTAAAATATCCTATCTGGGCCTTTCTATCTGAAATATTCTAAATCTTTAGCCACTACCCAGCTTGAACTTGCTTTATCAACTTCTAACATGCTCTTCCCTCCTCCCTCCACCAATATCTGCTCTACCCACCTGAATACTCCACAAACAACACCAAACTGTGCTGTGTATCACCAGCCTCTTATATTGAGGAGAAACATAAAAACAGGGGACACTCTTCTAATGCTTGTCAAAACAGTTATTCCACTTCACATGAATATAGCTCACAAGTTGGATCTTGTCCATCAGTTTTTTTGTTTTCTGTAGTTTTCCTATAGAGAAATTTTTTTTTCTATAGTTTTTCTTTATTTTTAGGTTTCTAAGAACTACGGTCCAATTACATGAAGCTAAGCTGATGCTCTAATTTTGGCAGCAGACAATAGATCATCCTCATTTGAAATTTCCTCCACATCTCATCCTCCATTTGGTAGATTTCCCCCTCAAACCACCCCCCCCAAGAAAATAAAAGAAAAATAAATTCAAGTCCAGAAAATAGAAATGGAAGAGGAAAATGAAGCTGAAAAACTGAAGATCAAGAAAACATTGAAAATGGCCTAAAAACCCTTTGGATAAAAAAAACTTTCAGTCCAAGGATTCTAGATGTGTCAAACATTCATATTTAACTCGGAATAATTTGGGCCTATGCCAGAACTTAAGGGAAAAACTTACATTACTGTTAACCAAAAACCCAGCTATGGTGTGGTCTTACTGAACCAAGTCAAGTCCACAGCAATCCAAGACCTGGGCACTAATAGGAACTAGAAATCGGGCACAAGCTCAGTTTGGACTACAATATTAAGCAAGAAACAGGGCATGTAAGGAATGACTGCTATAATTACATATGGCAAAACATTAAGGAGTTGAAAGTCATTAAAACAGGGCACTGGGAACCAGACAACATAGCAGCAAGGCCAGGAACCCATGAAAGTTGTCACTGGGCAAGGTCAGCCATGTGAAAAACAACAGGAAGTGGTGTCTGGGCTCCTTTGTATGAGGTAGGAACATGATGACTCAGCATTTCCTGTTGGGCACCTACCACACCCTCTGTTAACTAGGGGCTGTGAGCCTGCCCAACCCCAGCAAGTTGTCTTTCCGTTCGGGAATCTCTCACCTCTAGAGAATCTCAACTACAAAATTAAAAAACACTTTTTTGGTTATGGTGCCTCATTAAAATTTGTAGCATTCATTCATATTTTTCTAAGAAAAAAATCAAATCATGTAAAATAGGAATGGTATCAAACCAAATAATAATAATTAGCCAAGTCAGCTTCATGTAGGCCCTTTTTACTCCAGAGGCACTTACTTTCATTTCACAAAGGCTATCGCCAACCTTCAGAAGCTTTTCATTGTAATAGGCAGCTGGCAGCCGGGGGGCATATTTGGTCCAGATATTAAACAAAGAGGTGGCACTGTAAAAATCATAAAATAAAATTATATCTTCAAAGTCAGCAAGAAGCCTCAATTAATTAGCAAACAATCCTTAAAAACTTATTTTGTGCTCTTTCCAATGTGCCTTACTGTCAACGTCTAATTACTACTAAATATTATTAAAATTATTGCTTCCTTTATGCCAAACACTGATCGAAGCTCTTTTTTTTTTTTAAAGATTTTATTTATTCATTTGAGAGAGAGAGTGAGCAAGAGAGCACAAGCAGGAGGAGGGGCAGAGGGAGAGGGAAAAGCAAACTCCCTGCCCTGAGCAGGGAGCCCTGCTCGATCTCAGGACCCAGGGATCATGACCTGAGCCGAAGGCAGACGCTTAACTGATTAAGCTACCCAGGCGCCCCGATCAAAGTTCCTTATATTCATTTTTTAAAACAGATTTTACTTTTTAAAGTAGTTTTAGGTTCACAGAAAAATTGAGCAAGAGGTATGGAGATTCCCCATATACTGCATGCCCCACACAAATGCACAGCCTTTCCCCCACCCCCTTATCAACATCCCCCACCAGAGTGGTATATTTGTTACAACTCATGAACCTACATTGACACATCATTATCACCCAGCATCTACAGTTTATTTTAGGGTTTACTCTTAATGTTATACATCCTATGGGTCTGGAAAAATGTATAATGATGGGAACCCATCATTATGCTATCACACAGAGTAGTTTCACTGCCCTAAAAATCTGTGCTCTGCCTATGTATCCCTCTCTCCCTTAACCCCAGGCAACCACTGATCTTTTTATTATCCCCATAGTTTTTGCCTTTTTCAAATGCCATGTAGTTGGAACATACAGTATGTAGCCTTTTCAGACTGGCTTCTTTCACTTAGTAATATGCATTTAACATTTCTCCGTGTTTTTTCATGGCTTGATAGCTCCTTTCCTTTTAATGCTTAATAATATTCCCTTGCCTACATATACCACATTTTATTTATCCCTTCACTTAGTGAAGGATATCTTGTTTGCTTTCAAGTTGTGGCAACTGGAGTAAAGCCGCTATCAACATCCATGTGCAGATTTTTGTATGGACATAAGTTTTCCACTCCTTTGGGTAAATACCAAAAAGTATGATTACTGGATTGTATGGTAAGAGTATGCTTAGTTGGGAGGCCTAGGTGGCTCAGTCAATTAAGCATCTGCCTTCAGCTCAGGTCATGATCCCGGGGTCCTGAGATTGAGGCCCATATCGGGGCTCCCTACTCAGCGGGGAGCCTGCTTCTCCCTCTGCCTGCTGCTCGCCCTGCCTGTGCACTCTCTCTCTCTCTCTCTCTGACAAATAAATAAATAAAATCTTTTTTAAAAAATAAAACTCTTAAAAAAAAAAAAGTATGCTTAGTTTTGTAAGAAACCACCAAACTGTCTTCCAAAGTGGTTGTACCAGTTTGCATCCCACCAGCAATGAATGAGGACTCTCTGTTGCTCCACATCCTCCCTTCATTTGGTGATGTCAGTGCTCTGGATTTGGGCCATTCCAATAGGTGTGTAATGGTATCTCATTGTTTTAATTTTCATCTTCCTAATGATATATGTTGGGGAGCATCTTTGCAAATGTTTATTTGCCACTTGTATTATCTTCTTTGATGAGATGTCTGTTAAAGTCTTTGACCCACTTTTTAAAATCAGGTTGTTTGTTTTCTTACTGTTGAAAGAGTTCTTTGTATATTTTGGGTAACGGTCCTTTATCAGATATGTCTTTGGCAAATATTTTCTCCCAGTCTGTGGCTTGTCTTTTCATTTTCTTGATGGTGTCTTTCACAAAGCAGAGGCTTTTAATTTTAATGAAGTCTGGCTCATCAATTCTTTTCTCCTGGACTGTGGCTTTGGTGTCATATCGAAAAAGTCACTGTCAAACCCAAAGTCATCTATGTTATCTTTTAGGAGTTCCATAGAATTTTACATTTAGGTTTGCAATCCATTTTGAGTTAATTTTTGTGAAGGGTGTAAGGTCTGTGCTGAGATTAATGTTTTGCACGTGGATGTCGAGTTGTCCCAGCACCATTTCTTAAGAAGACTATCTTTGGTCCATTGTATTGCCTTTCCTCTTTTGTCAAAGATGAGTTGATTACATCGATGTGGGTCTATTTCTGGGCACTCTGTTCGGTCCCAATGATGTATTTGCTCATTCTTTCACTGATACCACAGTCTTGATTACTGTAGCTTTAGAGGAAGTCTTGAAGTCAGTCTTCCAAATCTGTTCTCCTCCAATATTGCTTTGGCTATTCTGGGTCTTACACCACATGCATTTTTGTTTTCATTTCATTTCCACAACAACCCTGAGATAGGTAGTATCAATATTCCAGGTGTATAGTTGATGACATGGAGGCTCAGTGCATCCATGATCTTAACTAGTGTATTACTGGGCCTGCCTGTCCTCTGGAATGTAAACTATCTGAAGGCAAGGACTTGGACTATGTTATTCATTGCCCAGCCTCAAGAGTAGTGAATATCTAGTATATACATGTTCTCAATAATTATTTGTTGAAAGAATGAATGAATACATAAATGACTAGGAAAAAAATTCCTTGTTCTTGTTTTATTTTTTCTGTAAAGAGTTCAGGGATTTCAATATCCAGTCAGTCCATTAGGGTTCTGTTTCTTTCCACCAAGTAAACAAAAATAAAACATACAGTATTCTCAACATGGTTTCTAATTAGTTTCAAAGGGTAGCAGATCACTGCTTATTTTGTTCATTCATTTAGTTAACATTTACTCCTTCCCTCTCTCTCAGAAATTATAACTCCAAATTTCCCTTAACAGTTGTCCAAGCCCATTTCATAAATTTCTAGATGAGGACAGTGTTATGTACTGAATGAGTGTGTCCCCTTGAAATTCTTCTGTTGAAGTCCTAATCCACAGTGTGGCTGTATTTGGAAAAGGGTACTCTAAGGAAATAATTAAGGTTAAATGAGGTCATAAGGGTGGGGCCCTGGTCTGATGGCATTAATGACCATCTAAGAACACCAGAGAACTTTCTTTCTCTCTCTCTTTCTTTGTGCTTGCTCAGAAGCAAGGCTATGTGAAGACCAAGTGGTCTTCTACAAGCCAGGAAGAGTGCTTTCACCAGAAACTAACCCTGCAAGACCTTGATCTGGGACTTCTAGTCTCCAGAACTGTGAGAAAATAAATTTCTGTTGTTTAAGCCACCCAGACTATGGTGTTTTGTTATGGCAGCCCAAATTGACTAATTTATAATTAATTAGTAACTAATAGCCCAAATTGACTAATACAGGTAGGAATGTAAACTTAGGGACTGAAGATGGCTCTAATACTTATGATGTATATGTTGGGATATTATCAGAACAACAGCAACAGAAACATGTTGATTGATTCATTCAAATAATTTTTTTAATTCGTTCAAATAATTAAATGATATTTAGTTACAAGGGAGGGGTAGGGGACGGGATATTCTTGCCTTCTTTGACTGATGAGTAATATTTTAGGATATGAAAATATATACATGTACCAAGTAGTAAATAACCATGCCCAAAAAATTGTGTGGGAAATACAACCATAGAAATTTTAAAAGGAAGAGGTTTTTGGTTTAGGTTTTTTTGTTTTGTTTTGTTTTTAACCTTTTCACTCTCATTTGCTGCTTTCATGAAATGTCACAGTATTAGAATATAGTGAATCCCAAAAAGTCAGCAAGTCTTGCTAGAATTCTTAAATTATGTAGACAAAAGACTTAATTCTTTCAAACCTTAAAGATGAGATAATGATGACTATGTTTATTACTCATAAAAGAAAAATACCAGCTTTGTTAAATCAATCAAGGTTATATAATGAGATAAATTTTTTTTAAGTGAACTTTAAGTTCAAGTTAAGACTGCTCACTGGAAATGACTTACATAATGATTAAACAAGGAAAATATAACATACACTATATAATGTGCATCATTTAAGAAAACATTAATACCCTTTGGATTGCTGACTTATTATAGCTGCTGCTGCATAGTTAGAATTCTCTAAAATAGAAAATCGTAACTATATAAACAATATCTAAATCTCATGTGGTTATAACAAAAGCATACCTTTAAAAAATCTATCATATTCCAAATTTAATAACATTGCCAATATGATCAAACTCTATATTTTAGATCCTGTGAATTTTTATGCTTATGTCAATTCCTATAGTTACAAAAAAAATTTTTGATTTTAAAAAATAACCATCTCTCAAATACGTTATAAAAGCAAATCCTACCTCCTATATTCTTAACTGGCCACCACATTGTCATTCTTACTCCATTTGGACAAGATTATATAAATATGTATATATAATATTAAATAAGGTTAATCCCTTGCCCAAAACTACCCAATGCTTTCCCACTGCTTTTGGAATAAAGGCAAACTGTATAAAAGGCCTCTAAAACCTTCCAGAGCCCTACCTATGTCTCTAATCTCACCTCATACCACTGCACCCACACTCACTAAGCCATGCTTAATGGGCTTCTGTACATTCCTCCCAAGTCTCTAGCTCTTTCCTGCCAAGATCTTCTCAGATGCTTGTTCCCTCTGTTTATCCTCTCTCCTTGCCTGGTATCCTTCTAATCTCAGCTTAATGTCACCTCTCTCACCATTAGCTTGAAAGTAGGTACGTGCTATGTTCTCTTTAAGCCGCTGCTCAAGTGTCACCTATTCTGACCACATTACTGAAAATTGCAATCTCCTATCTCCCACTCCATAACCCTTCCTCTCTTTAGTTTTCTCCCTAACATTTGTCATTTTCTAGGTTACCATAAAATGAATTTATTTAATATGTTTAATGCCTACCTTCTCCTCTAGAATACAAGCACCAAGAAGGCAAGGCTCTTTGTCTGATTCACTGGTGGATCCCCAACCCCTATTACAATGCCTGGCATATGTAAGTGCTCAGTAGCTTCTTCCTTCATAGCACCTGTTGTTTGTATATTGACTTAATGACTCATTGAAAGCTTATTTCTCTCTCTCTCTCTAGACTATAAACTCCATGAGCACAGATTCCCTATCTATTTTGTTCACCACTATATAACCAATGGTTAGTGCAATGCTGGGCACATAGTAGGCATTCAATAAAAGTTGCTGTGTAAATAAATAAATACCTAAATTGTGTGAGAGGTTAGATTGCTAAGGTCCGTGTCAATCGTTAAAGTTTGTGATTCTCTTATAGTCTAAAGATGAAACAGATGGGGCACCTGAGTGGCTCAGTCGTTAAGCGTCTGCCTTCGGCTCAGGTCATAATCCCAGTGTACTGGGATTGAGCCCCACATCGGGCTCCCTGCTCCACGGGAAGCCTGCTTCTCCCTCCCTCTCCCACTCCCCCTGCTTGTGTTCCCTCTCTTGCTGTGTCTCTCTGTCAAATAAATAAATAAAATCTTTAAAAAAAAAAAAAAAAAAAGAAACAGATACTCTACTTACAAACTGGCCCAGGTCTACTTTCCCATATATAACATTAACAATTATTGAAAATACAAGGATAATAATCCTTGAATTCTTTCAATACCAAATACTCAATGAAAGTTTGCCCTGGGGCACCTGGGTGGCTCAGTCAGTTAAGTGGCTGCCTTCGGCTCAGGTCATGATCTCAGGATCCTGAGATTGAGCCCCACATCGGCCCTGCTCAGCGGGGAGTCTGCTTCTCCCTCTCTCTCTCTGCCTCCTCCTCCCCCCACCCCCGCTCATGCTCTCCCTCTCTCAAATAAAGAAATAAGAATCTTCAAAAAAAGAAAGGAAGGAAGAAATTTCGCTCTATCCCAACCACCAGGCTAGTTGCTAGAGATAGAAAAATGAAAAAGAGACATGTTATCCAAAGTCAGCAGGGACTTCCACTCTAATGGGGGAAACAGATCATACACAAGAAAACAAGTAAATAAAAAATATAAATGGGTGGCTGAACCTGCATTTAAATAGGAAAGGCCACACTACAGTGGTAAGAACTGAGCTAAGACCTGAAAGAAAAGAAGGAGCCAGCTATTTGAAAAGCTGAGGATACAACATTTCAGACAAAGGTGGCAGCAAATATAAAGGCCCTGGGATGAAAAAAATAGGATCTGTCTCCCTGGAAAGTCCTGAGAGAGAAGTGAGGGATGGGCTGAGATGGAAGAGGCAAGCAGGGCCAGATGCTCAGACCCTGGAGCACAGAAGGAGTCTTAAATTTATTCTAACAGCAATGGGAGGCGATAGAAAGTCTTGAGATAGGAGAGTGGGTGGTTGATTTATAAAGGTTACCCTTACTGCTAAAGTGAAGGATAGATTTGAGACTCCAGAGGCTGTGGGGAAAAGCACAGCCTGGTGGTTTGAACTACAGCGCTGGTCGTGGAAATGGGAAGATAAAGTGCTATCTAAGGCACAAGTGCAGAAATGTTTTAAATATAAATATATATAGCTTAGTAATGCACTTTCCTTGGTCAATTCTTGGTTCTCATCTCACTTGGCCCATCAGCAGGATTTGCCACTGTTAATAGATCATTCCTTCCTACTTTGAAACGGTTTCTCTACCCGACTTCCAGCACACCACACACTTACACTTACTGGTTTTCATCCTACCACCCTGGCCACTCCTTCTTAGGCTCTGCCACTTTCTTATCAACTCTACTTGTCAATGTTTCTCCATCTACACTCACTCCCTTAGCTATTAAGTCAAGTGTCATGATTTAAATATCAATAATATGGGGGCATCTGGGTGGCTCAGTCGTTAAGCGTCTGCCTTCAGCTCAGGTCATGATCCCAGGGTCCTGGGATCGAGCCCCGCACCAGGCTCCCCGCTCCGCGGGAAGCCTGCTTCTCCCTCTCCCGCTCCCCATGCTTGTGTTCCCTCTCTTGCTGTGTCTCTCTCTGTCAAATAAATTAAAAATAAATAAATAAATATCAATAATATACTGACGAACCCCAAATGCATATCTCTTTTGACCTCCAGACTCAAATGACCAACTACCTTTGTAATAGCTCTGCTTGGATGTTGAATTACATTTCAGTCTTCGTATATCTAAAACTAAATTCTTGGGATGCCTGGCTGGTTCAGTGGGTGGAGCATTTGACTCTTGATCTCGGGATTGTGGGTTCGATCCCCACATTGGGTGTAGAGATTACTTAAAAATAAAACATATATATTTCACAAAAAGAAAACTAAACTCTTGATCTGCCTCTCTCCTACCAGAAACCTGTTCTTCCCACAGTCTCAATCCCACCCCGGGAACCTCACACTTGCCATTCTCCCTTGCGGCCAACTCTTCCTACAGAAGTCTTCATCACTTGCTATTATATTTCTTTCTCATCTTTCTCAAAGGCTACTTTTCCCGACTTAATCTGACCATGCTCCCAGACACCCCCATTTTAAATTTCAACACCATACCGTATCTTCTATCCCCACACTCTGCTCTGATTTTCTCCCTAGCACTTCTTTTCCTGTACAATGATTTCTTGACTTGTTTAGTAGCTGTCTGTAGTAACAAAAAATATATGCTCCATGAGGGTACAAATTGTTCTATCTTTTGTTAATTTGGTGTTTTCCTAGTTCCTAGAATGGTACCTGATATATAGTAGATGTTCAATAAATAGTTAAATGCATTAATGAATAACAAATGTAAGTTAAAACTATTTCTTCATATTAAATGCATGAATGAAAAATAAAAGTTGAGATTATTCACTATTCTGGTATTCTTTGACATTTGTCTACATTTGTAATTGTTCGGTTTGCAAGGTATTTTGACTGGGAAAGAAAGATGGTAACATAATCAGGAAAGAACCTTAAAAATAGGAAGCCTGTCGCTCCGTAGTAACATAGGGATAGAACTCCCAAAAAGGCAAACGTATATGCAAAATGAGTACAAAACCAGTAAAAAATCACTGTGACCCTAACAACAATATAAAAAGGAATTAAAGTATAAAAGGGAATTAAAGTGCACATGTTCACAGAATCACATACTTCGTGGCATCAAGAAGTAACTTTTTCAAGAACCTAAGCTACCTCAAAGTTATTTCTTTTGCCTCATACACAAAATTCTACCCACAACATGGAAAGTTGTGAAACCCCTGAGCCCCTGAGTGAGTCAAAAATGTATTGGCATGGAGTAGCTTAGCGACTGGGGAACATTCAGAAGGAATGGTGTGTTATGAAACACTTCTGTGTTGATTTTTATTTTGACCCGAGCAGGAAGCCAAGGTATAACATTTACCAGGAATTAAGGGCTGTAATAGCGATGAGTCTCCACTTCTTAAACTTTGTTTTTCCCTCCAGGTCCGCAACGCTCACCCAGCTCTGGCATTAGCGTGGGCATCCTCAAGGGCATCTCCTCAGGCCCCAGGAGTTGCCCTTCTCCGGCCGGCGCCCTCCCCAGCGCCCTGCCTCTGCTTACCAAAGCCGGTGGAATTCATGCTTCTGTTCCTCCGTTATCGCTAACGCCTTCTTTCTCTTCATAAAGCCTAGTAAATCCCGAATTTCCCTCTCGCAGGAGGCCAGGAGTGGGTTTTTAGCGTCCAGAGGCCCATAAAACACGGCGAGGGGCAATGAGTTCTCGAGGCAGGCAGAGTGAGGCACTGGGCTCGGGGAGCTCTCCTTCGACTCCACGGGCGACTTCGAGAGTGCGTTCGAGGTCGGGGGCGGGGTCGGCGGCGGTCCTGGCGGGGACAGGGATGTGGGAGACAGGTTGAGGGGAGAGGTCGAGGAGGTGCCTAGAGCCGCCATATTGACGAGACCGCAGCCGGCTAGAAGTGTGTGTACACGCGGTTGCCTGGCGACGGTCTCACGGCAACCAGGTGTCCTTCGCGCTTTCAGGAAAACACAGCGGCCCCTGGAGGGCAAAGGAAGAAAGAACCCGGTCCAGAAAGAAATGACGCTCCTGGGGGCTTTTTTTTTTTAATATTTTAATGAAATTGTCATGTCGTCTCTTTTCATTACATATTTATTAATACAATATTATTAGCAATAATGATCTCTTTTCATTTAACAATTTTTCCTTTAATCTTCACTTATATTTTCTTGTATATTTTCTCATATATTTTTATATGAGAAATTTTCTCAATATAATATTTTCTCATATACAGCAAGGAGAAACCAAAGGACACTTTGAATACTTGGGATGGAAAATCTTTAGGCAAAATCAGCAAGGTCTTTAAGCACATTTTTTTGTCTTTTTTTGCCCTCTTCACTGGCACTGCCGTATGACAGAAGAATAGAGAGAAGATTTTGGACAGAGAGCCAGGGAATAGTAGAGCCATAAACTTACGATTACAAATCAGACTATACTCGTTTTCCATTTCGACCACTTAATGATGATAACGATCATTAATATGTGCCAGGCATTGTTCTAAGCATTTGAAACATAAGCTCATTTAATCATGATAACAGCTTTACCACTTAAGGTATTATGAGTATCTCCATTTCAGTTTAAGAAACCAAAGTTTATGGACCAAGGTCAGAGTAAACTGTAGTGTCAGTGACCAGATCCCAGCCTTCTGACTCAAAAGCCTATGCTCAAAATGAGTACGTTTCACTGGCCATCCTCAAAAAAAAAAAAAACTAAGCTTATCAATCAAATCAAAATTAGGAAAATATCTGACAACCAGTTTAAGAAGCAAGTACATGGGGGGCACCTGGGTGGCTCAGTCAGTTAAGCCTCTGCCTTGGGGGCTCAGGTCATGATCCTAGGGTCCCACATGGGGCTACCAGCTCAGCGGGGAACCTGCTTCTCCCTCTCCCTCTGCCGCTCCCCCTGCTTGTGCTCTCCCACTCTCTCACTCTCTCTCTCAAATAAATAAAATTTAAAAAAAAAAAGAATTAAGTACATGCAAATGATCCATTCTCTTCCCTCTATTTGTACCTTGAGGTCTGTAACTATGGAGATGATGGCTGTGCTTAACAATTAGGGTTACATTATAGTTCTTCATTTCATCCTTATTATCACCATATTCTAAATTAATAAGCATTTCACTCAACATTAACTGCCAGACATTAATGCACACTAGTGGCTTGAAGTGTTAACTCTCAAAATACTTTTGCATTTTAAACAGAGATTTTAGGAAACTTGCTTCTGATGGGGAAACTATAGGCCTTAAGGAAAATATATGGGGGCAAGGGAAGTTCTTCTTTCCTTACATATTATGGGCAACAGGAAGTTTATTTATTTACTTACTTAAGGTATAAGTTTCTAACTCATAGGGAACTTGCTTGCTTTATAAACTATGCAATGCCAAAAATTATCTAAGAAAAGAAACAGAAATATTTGATGTCTTAGAAAAATAGGTCTTTAACACTGAAAAGTGTTACTGGTTCCATCACACATAAGAATAAATAATGATAGTGACCCTAACACCCTGTGAGCCCAATTTCCCACTTAAGATTAAGAAGCTTATTGGACCACAGCCTGATTTCTTTCAGGTCTGACCTAATTTCTTGCAGGCTCTGTGGGCCTGTTCTAATTTATGAGGCTAGCCTAATATGTCATGTGTACTGTACTCTAATATTCTTTGAAGGAAAATGATGATGCTTTTGCTCTTCAAGACAGGTAATTATGACCCAAGAACCTTCTTGGCAGGCAGTGAGGTACCCTCACACCTCACTGTAGGAGTTCAATTCTCCAGTCAGGATAGACAAATCATTCTTTAAGATTTTATCTTGTCTCTAAGTGAGCAATAAAAATGTTAAGACCTTGAAGAATTTAGGCCTAAAGAAGTAATTCATTCTTCATTTACAAAAAGTATTAAGAGATCTTTTATTTAAAAAAAAAAACAGCTTGGTAAATTCTTTCTCTTCTCATCTTCTCCTTGTTCTCACATAACAGACTTGGCTATTTTAGATCAAAAGCTGATGTAATCTGCCACTGAGTACTACCTATTATATTGATGAAAGTAAAACTGCAGGATAAAATTAAAGTGGTCAGAGAGGAGGAAGGAAAAGAAAAATAAAACAGATGAACTGGGGTTTTTTCCCCTGACCTGTCTGCTCTCACAAACAACCTTACTAAGAGTGCAGGCACTTACATTTCAGTGTCACTGGTAAAAGAAAATGTGACTTATTAAATTCAGATACTTGAATTATGCATCTTAGTCACAGCATTGCTTCGTAGTCATTTTCTTCCTTGCAAATACAAAGTTGACAATGCTTCACTTGCCATAGTTTTCAAAAGCTTGCCTGAATATTTAAATGGCTGCTGTACTCTGAATCATTGTCGTGCTAAGATGGAAGTTTCCATTTTGTTCTGTTTAAATTATACTTGAAACATTTTTTAACATTTTCGAGGTGTTATCTTTCTTGTAATGAGATGCAGCTATTAGAATATCTTTTCTACTCCCTTGTCACTTCACTTTATTCTTTCCACTGTAGTGAAAGAATGGATCTCTGCAACTATTGTGTCTGGCAGGGCTAAATAATGTAAATAGCTTCCTTATAAATAATGTAAATTGCTGTTTCCTTATAATTAGTGTCTTTGTAGGCTGCAGGGATCCTTTTTGCTCATTCAAAAGTCTTTATCATCTAAAGTTACTGTTAGGGACACCCGGGTGGCTCAGTCAGTTAAGTGGCTGCCTTCGGCTCGGGTCATGATCCTAGGGTCCTGGGATCAAGTCCCGCATCAGGCTCCTTGCTCAGTGTGGAAGCCTGCTTCTCCCTCTGTCTGCCATCCCCCCGTTTGTGCTCTCTCTCTCTGACAAATAAATAAATAAAATCTTTAAAAAAATAAAAATAAAGTTACTGTTACAGAAGGAATTAATAAGGTTAGGACTCTCTCGATTCCTAATTTAGTTGTTAATTATTTGGACTGTCCCAAATATGTACCTACATATGGTCTTTAAAAAAAAAAAAAAGCACAAAGATCTCCTTTTCCCACCTCATCACCCAATATTTAAACTTTTTTAAAAACTTCTCCATCCTTTCATTTAGGCCAACGCAACAATTTCTTTAGTGTGTCATACAATGCATAGGTGAACCCACACATTCCTTGGAAGAAGCAGACGACATACAACTAACCATAATAAAAAGGTATGCTGTGAAATGTGCTGGGATAAAGATTTAAAACATGCTGTAGGAGTCCCAAGATGAAGCCTGGAACTGGAGAAAGACCAGACGATTCTGGAGAAGGTGATATTATAGCCCTGGACTGTCCCTGCTCCTCATTAACAGAAAGCCCCTTGCAACAGGGAGTTGCCTATTTACTGTGATAACCCAGCATCCGAGCCTGGAGCCTGGCACAGAGTAGTATGGCTTAACAAATCCTTGTTGGAATGAGTGAATGGAAAAGAATAAGACAGAGAACATTTAAAAGGATATCACTGATTGAGAAAAAAGCCTGAGTAAGGTACAAAGTTATAAACATACACGACGAGTTAAATAAATCATCTGTCCAGTGTGGTGAACCAAAGACTACAGGAGATCCAGGGGCAAAAGGTAAGGCAGTAAGAGAAGTGTGATCAAATATAGTAGGTAGTTGGAAAGTGTGCGAAGAAATGTTGACTTAGTTCTGTATTCAGTGGGAAACCTTAGGTTAGAAGAAGAGTACAATTAAAAACAGTAGGGATCGGGCGCCTGGGTGGCTCAGTTGGTTAAGCAACTGCCTTCGGCTCAGGTCATGATCCTGGAGTCCCGGGATCGAGTCCCACATCGGGCTCCCTGCTCAGCAGGGAGTCTGCTTCTCCCTCTGACCCTCCTCCCTCTCGTGCTTTCTATCTCTCATTCTCTCTCTCTCTCTCAAATAAATAAATAAAATCTTTAAAAAAAAAATAGTAGGGATTAAAAGCCCAAATTCTGGAGCCAGAAAGCATGGTTTGAATTCCCACTTCTTCCAAGTTGCTTGACTTCACTGTGCTGTGGTTTCCTCGTCTGTAAAATGGAGTGAAATAATATCCTACTTAATTCAGTTTTGTTTTGTTTAGAATTAAATGAATTAATATGTGTAAAACCCATCAAATAGTGCCTGGCACATAATAAGGGCTATATAAATGTTTGCTAATATAATTACTCACTTGGGAACAACCCTCAAATAGTCCCAAACAGAAAAGAACACAATCCACTCTGTATTTGATGTATTTTAGAAGGGAAACTAGGATGGCAGAATAAAGGATGGATTGGAGTAAAGAAGGGTACATCTGATCTCAGCTGCACAAACCATCACAATGTTTATATACTGTCAACCATGAGACAGAAGTAGCCAAACTAAAACCTTAGACACTGAGGCAGAATCCGTAGGAAACTAAATTCTAATCAATACAGTAAAAGCAGACTCACAGAGTAATATGTAATTTATATAATAATTATATTTATAACATATGTAATATATATAAAATAGTTGCAAAAATAGTAGAAGAAATTCTAACATGTATTTATTATTCTAACATATAATGTATTTATGGTCTTTAAGTAAAGCCTTTCCTAAAAGGTACAATAGTAAAAGACAGAAAGGAAAATACTAAACTGAATACATTAAGCTAAATTTTTAGAAGGGTAAAAGATAGCACAGCAAAAGTAGAAAAGCCACACGCTGGAAAAATATATTTGTAATGCATGACCTACTGTGTGAGCACCATGTCGATAAATATCACCAGCATGTTCAGGTAAAAGATATTGCTTGAGTAAATTCAACAGGTTTACTTATTAAAAGCTACCAATGGAAGTCAGTGTAGTCAGGACATATAACAAAGAGATCAGCAACATTATCCAGGACAGATGGGAATCTGTGTTTCCAAAACCTAAAAT